CAAGCTGTCACTGTGTGCGTGTGTGTGCGTGCGCACATGTGCTACACACGCTTCAACTCAAAGTAGGCTCTGTCCCTGCACAAAGCTAGCCTTCTGTCACTGAGCCACAGCACCACTTCCAGTTTCTGGTGGTTCATTGGAGATCAGAGTCTCAGGGCTTTTGTGCTCAGGCTGCCTTTGAACCATGATCTTCACACCTCAGCCTCCTGAGCAGCTGGGATGACGGGCGTGAGCCATGAGCATCCAGCTTTTTTCCTTCCTTTCTCCTTTCTTTTCCTTCCTTCCTTCCCTTCCCCTCTTTTTCCTCTCTATTTATTGTAGTTTTGCTGCACTGCCCAGCGGGCTGGCCCTGAACCCTTGGCCTCACTCAATCCTTTACCTTCTGAGCAGTTGGGACCGCAGGCCTCACCCGGCTGCGGTGTTCCTCTCCTCCCTCTGGGCCAGCTCCCCTGTCCACTTGTCCCATGTGCAGGGGTGCAGGCCTGCCACTGCCAGCACATCCCCGTCTTGAGCACGGCGCCTCTGAGAGTGGTTGGCTGTTGGTCAGTGCACATATGTGCTGTGCGCTCTGCTTCTCTGTGGGCCCCTTGGCCGTTCTTTTTGCTGGCTGTGTAGTATTCTAGGTGTAGATGTGTAGCAAGTTGTTTGGGCCTGCTCAGCTGTACTTTTCCGGAGAAGCAGTTTCCCAAGCCTTTCTCTTGGTCAGGACTCTGCAGTCAGTAGGGCCCTCAGGCAGCCCTGCTCATGCCTGTGTCCACTTCACCTGGGCTGACCTCTGAACTCCACGGGGCAAGCGAGGTCGCTTGTGCTGCCCTGGGGCCCAGGGCGCTGCCTGACACCTGGGTCTCCTCACCGCCCCTCTCGGGGGTGTCACACGCCACCCTGCAGGGCGCAGGCTGCACGGCGCTGGTGGTGGCGGTGGTGGCGCGGAAGCTGGAGCTCACCAAGGCAGAGAAGCATGTGCACAACTTCATGATGGACACGCAGCTCACCAAGCGGGTGAGCGCCGCCCCCTCCGGCGCTCGGCCCCGCCCCCGGGCCGGCCACGCCCCTGGCTCCCACCACACCCTCCGACCCGGCCCCTCCCCTCCAGGCCTCGCCCCTGGCTCCCACCACGCCCTCTGGCCCGGCCACGCCCCTCCAGGCCACGCCCCTGGCTCCCGCCACGCCCTCCGGCCCGGCCACGCCCCTCCAGGCCACGCCCCTGGCTCCCACCACACCCTCCGACCCGGCCCCTCCCCTCCAGGCCTCGCCCCTGGCTCCCACCTCACCCTCCGACCCGGCCACTCCCCTCCAGGCCACGCCCCTGGCTCCCGCCACGCCCTCCGGCCCGGCCACGCCCCTCCCGGCCTCGCCCGCGCTGCCCTGCGCCAGGCCTCGGGCAATGCCCCGGACGTCTCCAGCCTGAGCGGGTTGGCCGCTCTGTGCCTCAGTGTCCCGCGTTAGGCCCAGGCGCAGTGCACGGGGGTGGGCGCTCCGGGGGCCCTGTCTGGCAGCCCCGGGTCCGTGCCCGCTCTCAGGACCCGCCTCGGCCCGCAGGTGAAGAACGCGGCGGCGAACGTGCTCCGGGAGACGTGGCTCATCTACAAACACACGCGGCTGGTGCGGAGGCCGGACCCGGCCCGCGTGCGCAAACACCAGCGTAAGTTCCTCCAGGCCATCAATCAGTAAGTGCGGGCCGGGTGGCGGCGGGACGCGGCGGCTCGGGCGGGCGGGGGGGGGGGGGGAGGAGGCGGGGCGCGGGCCGGCGCGGGGGGCGGGGCCGGGACGCGGCGGCTCGGGCGGGCGGGGGGGAGGAGGCGGGGCGCGGGCCGGCGCGGGGGGCGGGGCCGGGACGCGGCGGCTCGGGCGGGGCAGGGGGGAGGGGGCAGGGGCGGGCCGGCGCGGAGGGGGCGGGGCCGGGACGCGGCGGGGCGGAACGAGGCGGGGCGCGGGCCGGTGCGGGGGGGGGGGGTGAAGAGGCGGGGCGCGGGCCGGCGCCGAGGGGGCGAGGCCGGGACGCAGGCGGCGCGGGGCCGGGGCGCGCTCCGGAGCGGGCCTGCCCCCCGGGGTCCCCGGTCAAGTTCCACCCCCCTCCCTTAGACGTGGAAGCCGCTTGCCCTTGGGGCGCAGAGCGCTAGCCCTGAGCACCGAGAGGCTCAGAACAGCGCCCAGGCCCTGAGTTCAAGGCCCAGGACTGGCCAGGGGCAGGGAGGGGGCTGGCGCCAGGGGCTCCCGCCTGTAATCCCAGCTGCTCAGACAGCTGAGCTGGCTGTTGGAAGGCGGACCAGGCAGGGAAGGCCGGGCGTCTTACCTCCGGTCAACTAGCGAAAAAGCCAGCAGAGCTGTGGCTGAAGTGTCAGAGTACTAGTTTTGAGCACAAAAGCTCAGGGAGTGTCTTACAGTCAGTTCCTTCAGCCCTCAAGGCACACAGGTCCCAGCCTGGTCTCTTTTTTGTTTTTGGTCGGTCGCGGGTCTTGAACTCGGGGCCTGGGCGCTGTCCCTCAGCTCTTCAGCTCAAGGCTGGCGCTCTACCTCTTGAGCCAAAACGCCACTTCCGGTTTTCTGGTGGTTCATGGGAGATAAATGTCTCATGGACTTTCCTGCCTGGGCTGGCTTTGAACTCTGATCTTCAGATCTCAGCCTCCAGAGTATCTGGGGTGATAGGCCTGAGCCACTGGTGCCCTGGGAGACAGGACCCTTTAACGGCTCCAGGAGCAGCCGTGGGTCTGGCACTGTGACTCGGGGACCATGTCTGACCTCCCCCCACCAAGGTCTGTCTACACTGGCTTCTTCCACAGTGTATGTTGTTGTTGCGTGGGGGATACAGTCTCGCCCCAGCCTCCCAGGAGGAGGGGTCCCAGCCCCGCAGGTGGGGCGGTGGAGGGCGGGGCGGTGGAGCAATCAGGCAGGAGGAGGGGCAGGGTGGTAGGGGAGGAGAGGGGCGGGAATGTGGGGGGGGCCTGGGTTCCATGCTGGTGTCCACTCTGAGGACAGGTATGGCCCCAAGGAGGGCTGAGGAGCTGTGGGGAGGCTCCCCAATACCATGTCACCTACTGGCTGGTTCAAAGACCAATAGAACTCAGGGCCCCCCTGTGACGGGTCCCGTGACGGGCCCCCTCTGACAGGCTCCTCGTTGGCCACTGCTGTGTAGACCCTTGGGGGCGGAGGGGGGTGTCACGGGTGGAGGGCACCCCAGTACCTGATGTGAACCTGGGCGGGGCTCATAGAGTCATTGAACCCCGATGCTGACACTAAAATGTCTCTGGTTTTTCTCCTGCTTGGCTGTGTCTCACAGGGCTCAGAAGTAAGTGTTTCCCGTAGGCTCAGGAGGCCTGGTGTGTGGGGCGCAGATCTAGGGGTGCGGGTGAGGGCCTGGGAAGTCCAGACCGGGGCCCAGGGGGCCTGGTGTGCGGGGCGCAGATCCCGGGGTGCAGGTGAGGGCCTGGGAAGTCCGGGCCGGGGCCCAGGCCGCCCCTGGTTGGTCCCTGGGCCGGCAGCCCTCTGCCACTGACCCCCACACTGCTGGCCCCTCCGTGTCCAGGCTCCGCAGCGTGAAGATTGAGCAGGGGAAACTGAATGACCAGGCCAACTCGCTCAGTGACCTGGCCAAGGTGAGGGCGTGGTAGTGAAGGGGTGGGGTGATAGGTCAGAGAGGGAGCACGGGCTGGAGGGGGGGGCTCCCGGAGACTGGGCACCTACCTCTCCTCTGCCCATCAGCTCTTCCCTTTCCAGCCGTGGCCGCTTTGTTAACCACGCCCCGCAGACATGCGGACCAGTGCGTGGAGCGTTGGCCACGCCCCCGAGGCCTGCCAGACACGCCCACGCCACACCCCCACGTCTGGCGTTGGGCTGGCCGGAAGGTCCTCTCAGCCTCCCTCTGGCGACCCCAGGGCTGGGCCCCGCCGTCCGCTCCCGCGGCGGTCACGGCCCCGTCCGCGCTCTCCTCCCGCAGACGCAGAGCGTCATGTTGGACGTGGTGTCAGAACTGCAGGCCCAGCAGGAGGAGCTCGAAGCCCGCCTGGCCGCCCTCGAGAGCCGGCTGGACGCGCTGGCCACCTCGCTGCAGGCCCTGCCCGCGCTCGTCGCCCAAGCCATAGGCGGCTCCCCGCCGCGCGCGCCGCCCAGCCCGGGACCCGCGCGCCTCCCGCGCCCCTGGCCGCCCGCGGACTGTAGGTGACGGCCCGCCCGGCCGCCGCCGTCCCCTCTGCCGCCACCGTGTGGCCGCCGCCCGTCGCGCCGTGAGCCCGGGCTGGGCCGCGGATGAACTGGACGCCTGCGCCCGCCGACCGCCACTGGCGACCCGGGCGGAGAACCTCGCTTCCCACTGGGCACGCGTGGAGCGCCCACCTGCTGCGTGCGGGACACGTGGCGTGAACGACCGCAGAGACTGTGCTTAGACGGACGGGGCCCCCGAGGCCCCGCGGGGACGGGCCGCCGCGACACGGGCGGCTGGGCTGCGCGCCCCGCCCTCGGAGCGCCGTCCCGGAGCGCGGGCGGCCGTGGCAGAGCCCCGAGGAGGGTCGGGGCCCGTAGGTGCTCAATAAATGCTCCTCCCTCCCGGAGCGGCGTGGTGTCCGCGCCGGCCGCGCGCGCGGGGGATCCGGGGCGCGCCGCGCGGGAGGAGCGCGCAGCCCGCAGCTCCCGGAGCGGCCCCGGGGCCTGGAGTTGACGCAGGGCGGGGCTTGGGCTCGGCGCAGCGCCCGCCACATCCGTCCCCGCCCGGTTCTAAGTCACCAGGCGCCGCGGGGACCCGCCCCGCGCAGGGGACCCGAGAACCCGGAAGCCGCGGCGGTGCGGGGCGAGCCTGAGCGGCGGGGCCCGCGCCCATCCCGGGCGGTCATGCGCCTGCGCGGCTTCGCGCTGGAGCTGGCGCGGGGCCCGGGCGCGGCGTTCCGCGGCGGGGAGCGGCTCCGCGGCCGCGTGCTGCTGGACGCCGCGGCGCCGCTGCGCGTGCGCGCGCTCGTGGTGGCGGCGCGCGGCGGGGCGGCCGCGCGCTGGCTGGACGGCCGCAGCGTGGGGGTCCACGCCGTGTCCAGCGACTTCGCGGCCGCCGAGACCTACCTGCGACGACGACAGACGCTGCTGCGCGGTGAGGACGCGGGAGCCCGTCCCGGGGCGCCCACGCTGCGGACTCGGGGCGTCCCCGCGACGGGCCTCACAACCCCGCACATCCTTTATCGGGGCGTGGGTCGGTGCTGCCCCGGGCTGCGTCCCCTCGTGCCCGCAGCGGCGCGAGGACGGGTGCGGTGTGCGTGGCGGTGCGGGGACCTCGGGGCTCCTCACCCGGCTCGCGGCGTCCCCGGCGCAACGCATCCGGCCGCCGGCAGAGGGCGCCGGGCCCCCGCGGGCGGCACCAGCCGCTCCCCGCCGAGTTCTTTCAGGGGGAAACTGAGGTCCAGGGAAGCAGGAGGGAAGGTCGGGGGCGCCTGGTCGTTCGGAGTAAAGGTGTCGGGCTGGGGGTTCTCGGCGATCAGAGTCCCAGGCTGCTTTTCTCCCGTCTCTCCAGAAAGGGAAATTGAGGCACACCGCCCTTCCAAGGTGCAGGGAGTCCCGACCGCTCCTCTCCCAGCTTGGGCGAGCCGTCAGGTCGGTCAGCAGAGGCCGCTCCGTTGGTGACCTCAGGCTCCGGCCGGTGGCTTCGGCTCTGTTTCTCCTCTTTGTGCGCGGGGAACGGGCTCCGGCGCGGGCAGGGCCCCCGCAGTTTTGTTGTTTCGCTGCACGCCTTTGCGAGACCACGCCCCCTCCGCGCTATTGGTCCAACAGTTTCCCGGAGGCGGGTCTCTGGTGCGGGCCACGCCCCCGACCTGTCATATAAGCGCGGCCCGGCGGCGTTCCCGGGAATTTCCAGCCGCGCCTCCGCCGCGCAGCACGGGCGCTGGGCGCTGGGCGCTGGGCGAGCTCGTCTCCGCCGCTCACGGGTTCGAGGCCAGGGTGGGCGTGCCATGCTGTTCGACAAGGTGAAGGCGTTCGTGGTACAGCTGGACGGCGCGATGGCGGGCGCCGAGCCCGTGTTCCGCGGTGGCCAGGTGGTGGCGGGCCGCGTGCTGCTGGAGGTGGTGGGCGCGGCGCGCGTGGCCGCCCTGGCGCTGCGGGCGCGGGGTCGCGTGCACGCGCACTGGACCGAGTCCCGCAGCGCGGGCTCGAGCACCGCGTACACGCACAGCTACAGCGAGCGGGTGGAGCTTGTGGGCCACCGCGCCACGCTGCTAGCGCCAGGTACCCGGGGTCCCCGGCGTGGGGCGCCCCGCCCGCCGGCCCCGCGCCCGCGCTGAGCTGCTCCTCTGCCCCTAGACACCGGGGAGACCACAACGCTGCCCGCGGGCCGCCACGAATTCCCGTTTAGCTTCCAACTGCCAGTGTGAGTCTGGGGGCGGGGGTCACAGGGGGCGTGGTCGATGCGGGGTCCTCCGTGGGCGGGGCGGGGCCACAGGGGGCGTGGTCGATGCGGGGGTCTGTCGCGGATGGGGCGGGGCCTCGGCGGGGCGGGGCCAGCGGGCCCCGCTGAGCCCCGCCCCCGCCCGCCCCGCCCCAGCGCTCTGGTCACCTCGTTCGAGGGGAAGCACGGCAGCGTCCGCTACTGCGTCAAGGCCACGCTGCGCCGGCCCTGGGCGCCCGCGCGCCGCGCCCGCCGCGCCTTCACGGTCATCCAGCCGGTAGACATCAACTCACCCGCGCTGCTGGTGAGCCGGGCGCGGGCCGGGGTGCGGGGCAGGGCGCGCGGGCCGGGCCGGGCGGAGGTCCTCACGTGCTGGGTGCGGGCCCTGTCCCCCCAGGCCCCGCAGGCGGGCGTTCGTGAGAAGATGGCCCGGCCCTGGTGCGGCCCGCGCGGCCTGGTCTCGCTGGCAGCCAAGATCGAGCGCAAGGGCTTCACGCCAGGTACAGCGCGGGGCGCGGGGCGCGGGGCGGGACGCTGGGCGGGACACTGAGGCCGCGTCCCCCGCGCAGGAGAGGTCATTCCCATCGAGGCCGAAGTGGACAACGCGTGCGCCCGGCCCGTGCGGCCCCGCGCCGCCCTGGTGCAGACGCAGACGTTCCTGGCCTGTGGCGCGCGCAAGGAGAAGCGCACGGTGCTGGCGAGCGGCGCGGGCGCGCCGGTGGGGCCGGGGCGGCGGGCGCGGTGGCGGGGCCCCGCGCTGCGCATCCCGCCCGTGGCGCCGTCCATCCTGCAGTGCCGTGTGCTGCAGGTCTCCTACTCGCTCAAGGTGCGGAGGGGCGCGGGGTGGGGGCCCCGGAGGGGCGCGGGGTGGGGGTGAAGCCATGCAGGCGCCCATCCTTCCTCTAACACCCCCCCTCAGGTCTGCGTGGACATCCCCGGCACGTCCAAGCTGCTGCTGGAGTTACCCCTGGTCATCGGCACGGTCCCCCTCCATCCCTTCGGTAGCCGCTCGTCCAGCGTGGGCAGCCAGGCCAGCTTCCTCCTCGACTGGGTGCCGGGCGCCCTGCTGGGACCGCTGGAGGGTGAGGCGCCTGGGGGGTCCCCAGGTCCGGGCTGTGAGTGGCTCCCGTCGGGATCCCCAGCCGGGCAGAGCCTCAGGTCGGAGGATTGCAGCCCAAGGCCCATCTGGGCAAAAACTTGAAGCTGTCCCAGAGAAACACCTAAAGAAAGCGATTGTGTGGCTCAAGCGGTAGAGCAGTCGTCTGGCAGGACGAAAGCCCTGTGCGCACACCCCAGCGCTGCCTGGTTTAAAATGACGGGGTCCCCCCCCCCGTGGGGGCTGGACACCCCTCACCCGGCTGCCGCTTGCAGCTCCTCCTGCCTATGCCGACGTGGTGACGGAGGAGGTGGCGACGGCGCCCAGCCCCTTCCCGCTGCCCCCGGACCCGGGCCCGGGCCTGGACGGCCCCTACCTGGCCTACGTGCAGGCGTTCCGCCTCCGCCCGCCGCCGCTCTACTCGGAGGTGAGCTGCGGGTGTGGGAGAGCCGGGGCGGGCGGGGGGCTGCGGGGGGCTGACTGGCCTCCCTTTCAGGAGGACCCGAACCCACCCTCGGAGGCCAGCAGCGGGCACTGCAGGACCTGCTGAGCGGCCAGCAGAGGCCACAGGGCGAGGTTGCAGCGGCGGCCCAGCGCCGAGCACGCGGGCTGGGTTCGCGGTGGCAAGTCAGCGCCCAGGAGAGTCGACGGGCGTTTGCTCCCTGTGCCCGCCCCCGGGCAGTGTGGGCTCCCCAGGAAGGACAAAGCCGGTGTGGACACTTGGGGCTTCTTGGGGGGAAGGGCATTTTACCTGAGGCTTTGACATGGAGGCGGAGAAGGCGGAGCTTCCCCACCGCGTCTGCCCTGCTCAGGGGCGCCGGCTCCACCCCGGGGGTGGCCTTGAGGATGAGGGCCACAGGTCCTGCCAGTGGGGACTTCTGACACCGGAGCCCGGGGTAGTGCAGGGCCAGAGCCTGAGCGCCCAGCGAGCTTCTTCCGAAGCCAGGTCCTGGGTGGGCTGAGAATTTCAAGGTGGACTGGCACGCGGGGGCCGGGGCGGGAGGGGGGGACGTCCACCCGTGGGGGGGACTTCCAGGGTGGGGGGGCAGCCGCCCCAGGTCCACCCTCCCGGCCGCCTGGGCGGGGCGCGTGTGCCGCGGGCAGAGCCCAGACGGGAGGCCCAGGGCGGGACGGGAGCTGGGGTCAAGGCTGGGCAGCCCCGGGGTCCCAGGAAGGGCCCTGCAGAGTTTGGGGGCCATCGTTTTTATTGACTTAAACTTCACATAAAAAAGCAACCCTTTCAAAGCATCTGTAGCATTCGCATTTCATAATGCATCACAGCCTCTTCTGGAACATTCCATCCCCCCAGTGTTGGCTCTCCGTCCCCTCCCAGACCCAGCAAGACGCTGATCGGCTTCCTGCCCCCGGTTTTCTGCCCCCCCCCCCATGGCACGCAGGGCCGTTGGCTTGGCCGTCACCGGTGTCCTGGGTTCAGAGGTCACCCATGAGGCACCGGCGGCAGGCCACGTTTTTCCGTGGCCAGGTGACACATGGTTGTCATGGACGATCTCCTTTCTTTGGTCTCGGCTGGGCGCAGCAGGGCTTCTCCCGTTGCCCCCGAGCTTCTAGGCGGCAGGTGAGGAAAGCCCTGCCCAGCTCTGCCCTTTGGGCTGGGGCCGGCCGGGGACCCCGTGCCACAGACGAGCGCTGCATGTAGAGATGGGGTCCAGGCGGCGTCTCGGCCCCACTGAGAGAGGTCGTGGCCCCCGACCTCCAGTGTCCAGCTGCATCTCAGGTCCGCCGAGAGGTCACCGTCCCCAGCGTTCACGCTGGGACCTGGCTGGCCTCGGTCTCAGGTCCCAGGGGGATGACGTGCTGGGTCCCATCCCCCCACCTTGTGTCCTGTGGAGCCGCTCTCGCCCTGGTGCTCCTGGTTGGGGCTCAAAGCTCTGGCGGCCGGACCTCAGTTTCCCTAGCAGTGCTGCCCTGGTGGTGACCTGGCAGCCAGGGGGCCTCCATTGGGGTGGACGAGACCCAGGGCAGCCTCGATCCCAGGCAGGACAGCTGTGCCGGCCCCTCCCGCAGGGAAGGGGACGGGGCACTGCCAACCGGTCTCCAGAGAAGCCCCTGGGCGGGATGCGCCCTGCAGACCTGAGATCTGGGCCGCGGAGTCCCCGCCCTGCAGACCCAGGGCCGGAGCAGGCCGGGCGGCAGAGTGCAGCCTCAGCCCGCTGTCCCGCCAGCCTGTGTCTGCCCCTGCGGCCAGGGTGCAGCAGGCTGGGTGCGCTCCGGCTCCCTCCCGCTGGCCAGCGGCCATGGCCCGGCGCCCTCGCCACCGCCAGGCACATTGTGTCCCTGTGGCTGGCAGGCACGTCCCCGGCCAGCTCTGGTGACGGGGACACTGTCCCGGGCACACTCCCCCCTCCATGGCCTTCCCCCACCTCTGGCTTGGACCGCACCCGGCATCCTCTGGGCTGTCCAAGGACCACAGGCCCTTTGCACCTGCTCTCAGGCCCCAGCTTCCCCTAGGTTTCCTGGCCACATGTGCAGATCCTGCTGGCTGCTGCGGCCGTTCCTCAGGGTGACTGTGTGTGTGTATGTGTGTGAGAGAGAGACACAGAGAGTCCTGGGACTTGAACTCGGGCCAGGCCAGCGCTCTGCCGCTTGAGTCACAGCTTTCCTTTTCGGTGGATCATTGAGGACGAGAGTCTCGGGGACTTTTCTGCCCAGGCTGGCTTCGAACCGCGACCCCAGGCCTCGGCGCTGGGGCTGCGGGCGGGGTTAGACCGGTGGGGGGCGGCGGCACCGGGCCTGGGGGCCCCGGAACGGGAGGGGAAGCCGAGGCGGCATGCACCCCGCACCCGCAGGGTTGCCCACCTCCGCCTGCCCTGTTTTGGTTTCGGCGGGATGGAGCCGGCCGGGCCGGGTTCCTGTCGGGCAGGTCGGTCGGCCCGGGCCGGGGCGCGGGCAGAGGTGGGGAGCCCTGCCCCGCCCCCCCCCCGCCCCCCCCCCCCCCCCCCCCCCCCCGCGAACCACTCAAGAAGGGAGCCGAGGGAGGCGCGGCCGGGGCCGCCAGGGCCCGAGGCCGAGGTCGGAAGGGGCCACACGGAGGGAGGCCGCGGCGGCGGGACCCGGGGCGCAGGCCGCTTCCGCTTCGGGGCGGGGCTGCTGTCCGCCCCGCGCCCCTCACCCCTGCCCGGAGCCGCGGCCCTGGGCGCGGCTGCCCCCTGCCGGCCGGGGCGGGGCGGGGCGGGGCCTGGGCGGGGCGGGGCCCCGGGAGCCTGTGGCCCCGCCCCCTCCCCGGCTTTACGGTTCAGAGCTGACCCGGCCCCAAGTCCCGCGTTTCCTGGAGTTCCAAGGAGAGCGCGCGAGCAAACCGGCACAAAAGCGAATGAATGCACAAATGTGAATGAATGAATGTCCATGACGGGAGCGTGAGCCGATGCACTGACGCTGAAACCGCAGGGCAGGATCCGGGGCTCCGGAGCTCAGCCTGTCATCCCGGCTGAGCTCTGAGGATCGCGGTTCAAAGCCAGCCCGGGCAGCAAAGTCCGTGGAAAGAATAAACCACCAGAAAACCGGAGGGGCGCTGCGGTAGAGCGCGCGCCTGGAGCTGAGGGACATCGCCCAGGCCCAGGGTTCAAGACCCAGGGCCAGCGCACGGGCCCGCGGACAGACACTCGCGCACTCACAAAATGAAAGAATGCATGGACAAAGCGTGAGCCAATGAACGGATGAATGCGTGAACGGGTGGACAGTGTCTGCTGGCGGACGGGGCAGGGCCACCGGCGCCGCAGGTCAGTCCGCCCGCCGCCCAGCTCCGGGGCCGCGCTGGGGACCCGTCTCCCACCCGTGCAGGCCCCGCCCCTCCCTGGAGGACGCCAAGGCCACGCCCCGACCCGGAATGGGCCAATCACAGGGCTTGCCCCGCCCCTGCAGGCAGGTCCGGCTGGGGAACCGCCGTCTCCCGCGGTTTCCAGGGTTCCCATCACCGGAAGGAAGTGTGGCAACTGCTCGGAGGTAAGGGGGACGCGGCGGGCGGGGCCGCGGGGCTCCACCGGGCCCGACGCCCCAGCTGTCAGGGCCCCGCCCCGGGGCCCGAGGCGGACGGTGCCCGCCCGTCCTCCGCCGTCCGGGGCGGCCCCGGGCCGGCACCGTCGCGGGCGCCCTGCCGTCGGTCCGCGAGGAGCAGCGGGAGCCCGGCCACGCGGGCGGAGATCCGGGCCTCTGAGGCGCCCGTTCCCTCCGGAGCTTCGGTCGCATCCGCCTCATCCCAGGCCATCACCACCAGCGTCTGCACCGGGTGCGCCTCCTCCGGGAGGCCGCCGGGGTCCGCCCAGGGCCAGGCCTGGAAGGGCGCGTGGGCGTGGCCTCGGGGAGCCAATCAGAGCGCTCCTCCAATCCCCACCCCGCCCGGGCAGAGCACGCGGCCAGTCAGCGGCGGCCCCGAGACTTTGCTTTCCGCGGGAGGCCCCGCCCACAGAGAAAGCCGCACCCAGAGAGGCAGATTCCCGACCCCAGGAGCTGGGACCTTTACCTGCTTCCCTTGGCTGCCGGGGAACTCCACGGCAGTGCTGGCGTAGGGTGTGGGCAGCGGCGGGCACAGGTGCCACAGCGCCCTGGCACGAGGCAGGCGGGCGGGACGTGGGTAGGTTACCAGGGGTGTGGGTTCCAGCCCCCGCCGCCCCTCGGGGCCGCGCTGGGGAGACCCCGTTATTCCCGCCTTGGCCGGGACGGTTTGGGGCTTTACCTGTTCAGGCCCAGGTACCCGAGGGCGCCCAGGAGGAGGATGCCCACGAAGCTGCCCAGAGACGCCAGGATGATGGACGCGTGGGAGGTCTCGGGCTCTGGGGGGGAGGGCCGGGCCGGTATGGGGGCGGTGATCCTCAGCACCTCGGCGTCGGGCCTGGGGGGACCGGCGGTTTGCCTGGCTCCTGGAAGGAGGGCGCTTGTGGGGTGGGTTTTGAAGGGTGACTAGGAGTCCGACAAGGGAGTGCGCTGAGCCAGGGTGGGCGAGGGCTCCGGGCGGCGCTGGCCGGTCCGGGTGTCCTCTGGGGGTGCGGGGCGCGGCGGGACTCACCGAGGCGGAAGCGCTGGGGCGGGCTCCAGGCGCCCCGCATCCAGGCCGAGTCCGCGCGCACCTGCACGGTGTACAGCGCGCCCGCCCGCAGGCCGTGGAGGGTGACGCGGGTCTCGGGGGGCTTCACTTGCAGCTCTGTGGGGAGCGCAGCCGTGAGCTCCAGGCACGGGGCCTCCCCGCGCGCCCCACCGGGACTCCCCCCGCGCGCCCCGCACCTGTTGCGCTCCCCGCGTCGTCCCCGCAGCGCACCACGTAGCGGAGCAGAGCTCCGGGGCAGTCCGCGAGCGTGGAGTTCGTCCAGGACACGGCTGGCGCCGCGCCGTCCAGGCCGCTCACCCGCACTTGCTGCGGGGACCCCGCCGCCAGGTCTGCGGGAGGGCGGGGCGCGGTGAGCGGGGTCCCGCAGCCCGGGGCGGGCGGGCGGGCGGGACGGGCGGCGCTCACGGTTGCCCCAGAAGAAGTGGCGGGACGCCACCGAGGCCCAGGCGCTGGCGTTGTCCGGGCGCTCGGACGCGAAGACGGCGACGCGGTAGCACTGGGGCCCCGCCGGGGCCCAGCGGAGGCTCACTGCGGGACGGAGGCGGGCGCTGGGCGGGGGGCCGGCCGCGCCCTCCCCCGGAAAACTCCTACGCAAGCCGCGGGCCCAGGCGCGGGCCCCCGCCCGCGCCCCCGCCCCCGCCCGCGCCCGCGCAGGCCGGGCCCGCCGTACCCACGCCCGCCGGGCCGCCGTCCGGCGGGGGCCGTCAGCTCGCAGTGCGCGGGGGCCCCGGCCGGCCCGGCCCGCGCGTGCGGCCGCCACTCCAGGCAGTAGGTGGTGCCCGGGGCCCGCGCCGGCCACCGCAGGGCGGCGTCCCCGGCGCCCGCGGTCAGCTCCAAGCGCCCTGCGGGGTCCCGGGCCGGGAGCGCCCACTTCTGGGGGGGGTCCCGCGCCGAAGCGGCTGCGGGAGAAGACGTCCAGGTCGTAGGCGGCCCCCGAGAGGCGCAGGCCCCGCGCCAGGCGCTCCTCGCTCGCGGGCTGCGGCCGGCACCCGCAGGACCGCATGTGCACACGCACCCAGTGCGAGACCCGCGCGCCCGATGCGGCGTCCCGGCAGCCCTCGGGCTGCTCGGGCTCAGGCGGCTGCGGGGAGAGAGTGGAGACGGCCGGGGTCAGCTGGGGCCAGACGCCGTGGGATGGGCGGTGTCCGCCCGGGCCCGAGTTCAAGCCCCCGGGCTGCCCAAGGGCACAGCAAGGTCTGGACAGGGCCCCGCCCGGCAGCCCCGGCCCCGCCCCCGCAGCCTCCGGCCCCGCCTCCCGGCTCCGGCCCCGCCCTCACGGCCCCGCCGCCCCCTGCGGGTCCCCACTTTCCTTCCACACCCCCAGTCTCCGCCGTGCGGACCCCAGGCCCCGCTTCACCTGCTCCCGCACTGACACCAAGCGCGTCCCATCGAGGCCCAGCGGCTCCTCCACAAAGCTCACGTCGGGGGCCCGCAGGTCGCCTGCGGAGAAGCGCGGCTGTGCCACCTCGCCGGGCCACCGGGGCTAGGCGGCCTCGGTTTACCCTCCCTGGATTCCGCCCCCTCCTGTCTCCCGCGCCGGGCCGCGCGGCCTCTCACCGCGGGGCACGCACACCGGGCCGCTCCAGCTGCTCCACGGGCCTCCCGCGGCCCCCGACCGCTCCAGGCGCCGCCGCCGAACCTGGATCTCCTGGGCCGCGTCCGGGAGCAGAGGGCATGGGCAGGACTCTGGGGAGACGCGGGGGAGCCCCGTTCCTGGGCCGCCCGGCTACCGACCCCCATCCACGCGAGGCGCCTGCGCCCTGAGGCTCACCTGGGCCGGCCTCGTCCTGAGGGCCGCAGTCGGCCTGGAACGTGCGTGGGTCAGGCGGGACTGGGAGCGGCCCGCCCCGCCCCTCACTCCTGCCCCGCCCCTCTGCCCCGCCTGGCCCTCTGGTTGGCCCGCCTGGCCCAATTCGGCTCTCAGGGGCGGGGCCTGACAAGGTGGGCGGAGAAGGTTGGCTGGGGTGGAGCCGGCGGTGGGCGGGGCGGGACCGGCGGGCGGGGCGGGGCGGAGCCGGCGGCGGGCGGGGCCGGCGGGCGGGGCGGGGCGGAGTCCTGGGCCCACCGGCCTCGGTTCCACCCGGTCCGGGCTCACCTGTTGCCAGTCGCCACGGGGCGTCCGGCGCCGGAGCTGCGCCTGGACCGCGTCCGCCTCGACCTGGGCCTCCCACTCCAGCCTCAGCGTCTGCCCGGTGCGGCTCACCGCGATGGCCTCTCTGTCGGGCGGGTCGTACCTCACTGCAAGCAGAGGGCGGCATCTGGGAGGCCCGCGCCCTCCCCGCCGGGCCGGCCGGGTCTGGAATCCCTTCCTGAAGTGGAGCCCGGCCGGGCCGACCGGGCGGCGGTCCGCGCGCGTCCCGTGTGGCCTGCGGGGAGACCCCGCCCCCCGCTCCGGCCTCCTCGGTCCCGCCCCCCCGCCCCTGCTCGCCCCCCACCAGGAGCCCCGGGACGCAGGCCTCGCCGCCGCCGCCGTCCGCGAGCTCACCCCAGCGGTAGAGCCGCAGCCGGAGCTCGGGCGACCGCGCCGTCTGGTTCCCGACCCGCGACTCCACCCAGAGCGAGACGCTGGACAGCACGGACACGCCGTCCTGCTCCGAGAACTGCACCCGCGTGGCCCCGGCGGCCGCCTCGAAGTAGCAGCAGCACCGGCTGCCGCACGCGTCGTGCATGCTGCGGGGGGGGGGGGGCGACTGAGCCCCGGGGTCCCCGGCCAGGGACGGCGGACCCCAGCCTCCGGGGACAGTGCCCAGGACACCCCGAGAGGGACCAGCACCGGCCTCCCCGGGGAAGGAGACAGAAGGATGGCGGGTGGGTGGGTGGGGGATGGAGGAATGGACGGGGGATGGATGGATGGACGGGGGATGGATGGAGGATGGGTGGGTGGGTAGGGGATGGATGGGAGAATGAGGGATGGATGGATGGGTGGGGGGTGGGCGGGTGGGGGGTGGATGGGTGGGTGGGGGATGGGTGGGTGGGTGGGTAGGTGGTGTGTGGGTGGGTGGGTAGGTGGTGTGTGGGTGGGTGGGTAGGTGGATGGGTAGGTGGGGGATGGATGGGTGGGTGGGGGATGGGCGGGCGGGTGGGTAGGTGGTGTGTGGGTGTGTGGGTGGGTGGATGGGTAGGTGGGGGATGGATGGATGGGTGGGGGATGGGCGGGTGGGGGGTGGATGGGCGGGTGGGGGGTGGGTGGGCGGTGTGTGGGTGGGTGGTTGAGTAGGTGGTGTGTGGGTGGGTGGGTGGATGGGTAGGTGGGGGATGGATGGATGGATGGGTGGGGGATGGGCGGGTGGGGGGTGGGTGGGCGGGTGGGCGGTGTGTGGGTGGGTGGTTGAGTAGGTGGATGGGTGGGTGGGGGGTGGATGGGTGGGTGGGCGATGGGTGGGTGGGCGCTAGTCAGAGGAACTGGGATGGGGTGGGGTCAGGGGGACTGGCAGGACTTCGGAGGTCCTCTGGCTTTTGCTCCCACCCAGGGCCGCGCTCCCCGCGGTGGGCTGAGAACTCACCAGCACCTCAGGAAGTGGCGGAGCTGGGCCGTGGGCCCCTCGTAGCGCCAGGAGCACTGGTAGCCGCGGCCGGGTGTGCGGTAGCAGCTCAGGTCCCTGGGGCCCCAGTCAGGGCTTGCAGAGAGCCCTGGGGGCGGCGGGAAGCGCGAGAGGCCACCTGCGGCCCCAGGGCCTTGGCGCCTGCTGCACCCGGCCGCCCACTCCCCGTCCCGCGTCCCGGAGCGCGGAGGAGCCGGACTAGGCCAGAACACAGCTCTTCTAAAGGAAGAGAGGGGGAAGGCGCCTGCCTCCCACCCTCCCACCCAGGCACTTCCTGGCGCCAAAAGAGGAGATGAATGTTCTAGGCCTCGGGCCCAGCATGGGCAGTGTGCGCACGCCTCGGGCCTGGGCTTGAGCCCCAAAGAGGCGTGGGAAGCCCAGGACTCCACCCTCGGGGTCAGCAGGCGCGGGGGCCCTGGGCCGGGGGGGGGGGGGGGGGGGGGGGCGGGGAGGGCCGCACCTGGGTTCGGGGCCGCGGAGGGCGGGGGAAGCTCCTGGAAGCAGCACCCTCGGTCGGGGCAGGAGGCTGCGGGGTGACGGGAGATGGAGATCGGCAGGGGTGCGGGCGAGGGGCCGCCATGGCCTGCCCCTCTCAGCCTCAGCCCTGTGTCTGCCCATGTCCACCTGACCTCCATCCCCCCCCCCCAGCACCAGCCCCGACCATTCCAAAGATGGGGTGGAGGTCTTACCGCCCTGCTGGGACAGCACAAGGAGGGAGAGCAGGCGCAGGCCAGCCGCTGGCAGCCCCATTGGGCCCCTAAGGAATATGGCAGACTCCTACACCACCCTCAAAGCCCCAGGCACCCCGTCCCCTGTGTGGAACACGCTGGAACTAAGCATGTCCTGACCCAGAAATCAAACTGAAAGAGAAACCCAGGAAGTTGGGGCGGGGCCTCACCTGGACCCCTGTCAGGCCGGGCAGCCACCCCGGGCCTCCTCCTGCCCAGCTTCCGAAGGTAGCCAGGGTCCCCCTCGGGAGACTGTCCCCAGCGCTGGACACCTGTCCTCAGGGACCTCTTTCCCTCTCTGGTCCTCGAACTCACCCCTGGAGCAGCCTGGGCCCTGGGGCACTGGGAACACCGAGGCAGGGGACCCGAGAACCAGGACGGGCCTGCCAGGATGGATGTCTTCCAAGCAACGAAAAGCAGGGGCCAACATGGAAGGATGGCGGTTCAAAGCCAGCCTGGGCCAGAAAGTCCATGACTCAGAGCTGCCAGCAGAAAGCAGAGCAGAGGCCGGACGAGGCAGCTCAGCCTGGCATCCCGGCTACTCAGGAGGCTGAGATCTGAGGATCGTGGTTCAAAGCCAGCCTGGGCAGGAAAGGCTGTGAAACTCTGATCTCCAATGAACCACCAGAAAACCAGAAGTGGCGCTGTGGCTCAGGTGGTAGAGCGCAAGCCTTCAGCTGAAGAGCTGAGGGACAGCACCCAGGCCCAGAGTTCAAGCCCTGCAATCGACCAAAGAAAGGAAAGCCAGAGCGGAGCTGTGGCACCAACCTTGAGAGGAAAAAAAAAGCCTGGTCCTGAGTTCAAGCCCCAGGGGTGCATGGCGCAGCCCCCGGGAGGCGAGCACTGGGTCAGGGAAACTGAGGCTCAGCCTGGGGAGGTCCAGCCCCTGGCACTGGCCCCTCCTCCCTGCAGCCGGGTCCCAGGACAGCAGGCTAGCCGTGTCAGGCGACCAGAGGCCATGAGGTCAACGGCCAGAGGACAAAGCGCCAGTGTCTGGGCCTGGCATGGTGTGGCCGTCAGTGCCGGGCACGGAGGTGGGAGGGAGGACCTCCTCCCCCACACCCAAACGCCACCACCTACCACGCCTCACAAATGGGGAAACTGAGGCAGGCCCTGCGCAGGCTGAGTGTGAAGAGGGAGGGGCAGCCCCTGCCCAGGGCTCCCAGGCCTCAGTTTCTCCCCCTGCAGAGTACACTGCTGTGTCTGCCCACCGCAGGGGCTGCAGGGCAGCACAGACTGACAGATGGACAGAACTGCACCCAGGTGCCCGAGTCACACCGGAGCAGGCCTGGGCTGCCCCAGTTCCCAAGGCCCCCGCAGGCTGCGGGCGGGCAGCAGGAAGGAACGGGGCCCAGGGCCGGAAGGAAGAGAGGAACCGCAGGGCGTCCACCCCTCCGCCTCTGCTCCTGGAGTGGAGGAACCTGAAGTTCAAGTGAGCCCGCTTCCCTCCCCTAAGGAGCATCTGCAGAGGGTGTTGAAGGGTGGGTAGGAGTTCCTAAGGAAGACATCTGTGTGCTGGAAACACACTGGCAGGCAACATTCTGCCATAAAAACATGTTTCATGTGTATGTGTGTGTGTGTGTGTGTGTGTGTGTCTGTGTCAGAGCTTGAACTTGGGGCCTCAGGCTGGCTTTGGTGGGCACTTGACCACTGCGCCAGGTCCCCAGCCCAGGGCCTGAAGGCCTGGTTCGCAGCCTGGCGAGTCTGGGAGGAGGCGTGGTGACAGGCCCTGGTTGCCTTCTCTGTGCTGTGAGGGGTTCCGGGCCACACACACCCTCCAGGCCCGCTGCCCGCTGCCTCCCTCAGACACAGCTGCCAGCTCGCTGGCGTGTGGTCCAAGGAAAACTGCTAGAGACCCCAGGACCCGGCACCCACCCATGTCTGAGTCAGGAAACCTCTTTTTCTCAAGACTCCAAACTCAAGTCCCAAGGTGGCACTGATTCCTGCCAGGGAGAGAAGCAGGTGCAGCATTCTGGTCGCGGCTCTGGTCGCGTTCTGGGCAAGAGAGGCTCACCCAGCTCCCTAGAATTGTTTTTGTTTGTTGCTGTTTTTTTTGGTAGGTCGTGGGTCTTGAACCAGGGCCTGGGCGCTGTCCCTGAGCTCTTTGGCTCAAGGCTGGCGCTCTACTGCTTGAGCCACCGTGCCACTTGCAGCCTTTCCTGGGTAGTTGATTGGAGATCAGAGCCTTAGGAGCATTCCTGCTGGGCGGGCCTTGAACCGCAATCCTCAAACCTCAGCCTCCTGGTCAGCCAGGACTGTAGGCGTGGGCCACCCGCCAGCTCAGCTGGAGTCTGAGCCCAGGAGCTCCGAGCCTGGCCACCGCCCAGATGGGGCGTCTAAACAGCGTTGGTTGAGATTCCAGTTTCTGGGCCTCTGCTTTGGAACACAGCTTGTCAGCAATTTGAACAGAGGCAGCATATGGCCAGGAAAGTCTGCTTCTAGCACTTTCCCAAGAGAATAGCCATCGTGCGTCCCCAGGGCCTCCGGGGTGGCTTCAGACCCCCATCGAGCCCAGGACTGGGCCCGGGGCGCCCAGGCCCTCCACCCTGCGAACATCACTTGGCCACAAACAGGAACGCAGCTTGGCTTTTGCTCAGATGAGTCAGGGACACGCCGCTGAGTGACAGAAGCCGCAGTGCTGTGTGGGACCATGGGCTGGAAGCTTCCAGAACAGCAAACCTAGAGAGACAGAAGGCAGATCTGTGGGTGCCAGGGGCCGGGAGGGACAGGCATCCTCGAGGAGGGGGGGGGGATGTGCTGGAAGCTTCCAGAACAGCAAAACCACGGAGACAAGAGGCAGATCCGTGGGTGCCAGAGGCCTGGGAGCAGGGGGCACAGGGGTCTCCGATGGTGGGGTCCCCGAGGGAGGGAGTGGGGTCCCTGATAAGGGGACTGGGGTCCCCGGTGGGGAGCAGGAGTTCTCGATGGGAGGAGGGTTTCCCGATGGGGGGCACGGGTCCCCGATGGGATGGAATGTGCTGGAATCCTCCTCAGGGGCGTCTGTTCCTGAAGCCGACCGGGTGGTTCTCGCGGCGCCCCGCGGGGGTGGCCGCGGCCCCGTCGGGGACGTCTCGGTCCGCCGGTGTCTGCGCCCCCCCGCCCCGTCCCCGCGGGTCCCGCCGGCGCTCGGGGTCCCCGCCCCGCCCGCAGCCCCGCATCGGCCCGCACCCCGCCTGGGGGGGTTTGTTTATTGACTTGGCTGCGCGGGGCGGGGCCTGCCGCCGGGGAGGGCGGGGCCTGCCGCCGGCGCGGGGGCCGGCGCGCGTCAGCTGACCCAGCCTGGCCAATGACGGCGGGCGGCGGGCCGGCGCGGGGCCGGCGCGGGGCCGACGCGAGGCCGGCGCGGGGACTCGCTGGCCATGGACGAGCCGAGCCTCCTGCGGCGCCGCGGGCTCCAGGTGAGGCCGTCGCGCGCGGGCGTGCGGGGCCGGGGAAACTGAGGCAGGGGAGGGCGTGTCCGGGGGCGCCGGGCCGGCGCGCTCCGCTGAAGGGCGGATCGACGCGCCTGGTGGTGGCGGGTGTCCCCGGTGACATGCGGGAAACTGAGGCCCCAGGGACTGCGGGAGAAGGGGCAGCGTCCCCCTCCCGACCTGAGGACGAGCGGGGCCGCCCCGCACCTGCCCAGCCCCGCTCACGTCCGCAGCCACGCACGGGGCTCCGGGCTGGAGCTGTCGGATTGGGAAACTGAGGCCGGGCAGGGCTCGGGCTGCGCACCGGTCAGGCTGGGACGCCGAGGCCGGCCGGGACGCACCGCAGACGCTGCCCGGCGGGCACCGTGCCGGTCTCTGGGGTCAGACCTCAGGCCGGCTCCGCGGGGCCGAGGTCAGCTCGGGAGCTCGCGGGGGGGCGGGGGGCGTCCCCCTCCCAGCGCTCGGGCCGGCGGGGGGCGGGCGGGGACTGTTGCGGGGGGCGGGCGGGGGCTGTTGCGGGGTGGTTGGTGGGCCGGGGCTGTTGCGGGGTGGTTGGTGGGCCGGGGCTGTTGCGGGGGGAGGGCGGCGGGTCCGGGGCTGTTGCGGGGTCGGGCGGCGGGTCCGGGCTGTTGCGGGGTCGGGCGGCGGGTCCGGGGCTGTTGCGGGGTCGGGCGGCGGGTCCGGGGCTGTTGCGGGGTCGGGCGGCGGGTCCGGGGCTGTTGCGGGGTCGGGCGGCGGGTCCGGGGCTGTTGCGGGGGGCGGGCGGCGGGTCCGGGGCTGTTGCGGGGGGCGGGCGGGCGGGTCTGCCTGGAGCCCTGGTTAGAAGCGAGCCCCGCCTCGGCCTCTTAAAATAGAGAGCCGCCTCCGGCCGGTGGCGGGGCGCTGCCGACGTCAGCAGGCCGGTTCCCCGCGGGGGGCGCGGCCCGCCCGACGCCGAGTCCGCCCGACGGGAGAAACTGAGGCTCGGAAACGCAGCGGCTGGGGGCGGGGGCGGCGACCACAGGAGCGGGCTCCACCGCGGGCCGGCGTGCGGGCCCGGCGTGCGGAGGGCAGAGGCGCCCCGGAGGCCCGCCGGCTCCGCGGGGCTGAGGGAGCCCCTCGTTCGGGGGTCCGGCCCCGAGCCCGGGAGGGTCAGGAAGGGGAACAGGAAGGTCGGGCCGGAAGCCGGGCCGCCGCGCGGGAGGAGCGGGGCGGCGAGCGGGGCGCTGTGCGCGCGGCGGGGCCGGCGCCCGCCTGCCGCCCGCGGGGCGGGAGCGGCGCTCTGGGGCTCGGGGCACCCCGGAAGCACCGGGCCGCCCCTCCACGCCGCCAGGCGCGCGCGGCGCTCCCGGCCGGGCCCGCGGGGGGCCGGGCCCCCAGGGGGTGCCCCGCAGCCAATCGGGTGGCGGGCTGCCCGCGACAGCCAATCAGATCTCGTGCAGGCCGAGGAGCGTGATTGGAGGTCAGAGACTCGATTCATAAAACCGCGTGGTGATTGGCAGGTGCGCCCGCAGCCTCAGCCTGACCCGCGGGGGCGGGGCCTCCCGGGCGGGGGAGAGGCCGAACCCCCGCCTTCCCGGGGACACGGGGAGTGACCGCAGCCTCAGTGGAGCCCTTGTCCCCGAGAGGCCGTTCCCCCGCCGGGGGCGCGGGTCCGGCGGTCTCCTCCTCCAGGGAGCCCTCCCCGGCCCCCTCCCTGGGGGAGGTCCCTCCGTTGGGGGTGTCCTGCCCCGGGGTCGGCTCCAACGTGAGGGGAGCATTAGGGCGAGGCTGGGCCCACTGAGCGGAAGAAAGGTCAGATACGGGCGGAGAGTTCGAGACGCACCCGGGCGGCGGGACGGACGGCGGGGCTGCGCTGGGGAGGAGCCTCTCGCTGGCGGGAACAGCAGGCGTGGGGAGGCCGCGGGCGGAAGCAGATGGTGCGGGGAGCGGCGCGCGGGCGGCCCGGCGCGGAGCGGGCCCACTTCCGGCGGCCCCGCGGGGGGGCTCCCCCCGCTCCCCTCTTTCCGGTCCTTGGCGTCCTCGCCCCCTTGGGAAGTCCCGCTGTGACGCCAGGCCCGGAGCTGGCTCTTTCTGCCTGCTGCCCAACGGGGAAACTGAGGCACGGGGTGGCTGCAGCGGAGGTGGGGGCCGGCGAATGTGGGTGGAGGGGAGTGGCTGGGCCTCGGGCTCGGCGCCCTTGGGCCTCCGACCCCCGAAACGCCCGGACCCCACGGCCTGGGACCCCCACACCGGGCCCGGGACCCCAGGCCCCGCCCCCTTCACCCTGGGGCCTAGGCCCGGCGCGCGGCGTCACCGGTTGCCATGGCGACGGCCGGCCGTGGGCCGTCCCCCCTCCCCCATAAGGACAGCGCCGCCCCGCCCCCGACGGGCGCCGCCTCCCCCAGCCTCGGTCCCCCCCTCCCGCGCCCAGGCCCGACCGCGGGGCGCGGCCGCACGGGGTGCGGGGTCTTCTCCAGGGAGCCCGAAAACCTGGACGTGCAGCCTGGCTGGAGCGAGGCCGTGGGGGAACAGACAGACTGACAGACCGAGCGCCGGCGCTGGGCACCGCGGACCCGCTCCGCTGCCCCGGCGGAGGGGCGGCGCGGCGCGGCCCGCTCTGAGCCGGGGTCCTCCCCCCGACCTCCGCTTCCGGCGGGGCTCTCGGGGCCCGAGACCCCGGGCGCACGCTGAGGCCGGCGCTGTCGTTGGTTTTTAGCCACTTTATGAATAAAGTCATTTGTTATTTTCAGTGAACTGTCTGTCTGTCTGTCCCGGGCTGTCCCTCGGCGTTCTCACCCCGGGCTGGCGCTCCATCCCTTGAGCCCCAGCTCCACGTCCAGGTGACTTGGGGCTGCCTGAGGCCCCAGCCTCCCGGGGCCGGGCGCACGCGGGCCAGCGGCGCCCCCTCTTTGGTGTGACCTCTTCCCTTGGGTTCTAATACAAGCTGGTCCTTCAGAGCCTGAGGTGTGAGTCACTTTATCTGTGGGAGAGAGGTCAAAGGTCGTCATGTGGATGAAGTGGGTGCAAAGGCCCTGGGGTCGGTAGGAGCCGGGCAGGGGAGGGGCTGGCTTGGGGGTGCAGGGCGACGGCCCGGGGTCCGGGGCTGTCCTCGGGGCTGATCGCCCCTTTCTGTGTCTGTTTCAGAAGGAGCTGAGTCTGCCTCGCCGTGGCCGCGGGTGAGTGCCGGGGCCGGGGCCGGGGCGAAGGGGTGCGGACTGACCCAGGGGTCCCTGCGGGGCCGAGCCTGACATCAGAGAACCCACGGCCTAGAGCTGCGCGGGGCGCCCCGACACCCCCGGGAGCCGGAGGCGCGGGCGGGAGGGCGGAGATGTGAGGCCGCCCGGGGCTGGGCCGGGCTGAGCCAGCCAGGGTCACGCCGTGCTCCAGGTCGGGAGAGGGGAGGTGGAGGCTGGGGACCCGCCGGGGCCGGGGCCGCGCAGGACCGCGGACAGAGCCGCGCCGGGCCTCCTGCAGGCGTGGTGGGCGTGGTGAGGGCTGAGTGACAGGTGGGCGTGGCACTGTGGCGAGTGGGCGGAATAGGGAAGGAGGACGGTGCTGATAGGCCTGTCTGGCCTTGCTGGCTGGTGGGTGGGCGGGGCCGAGAGGCCGGTGGGTGGGGATCTCGAGCAAGTGGGCGTGGAAAAGCAGGCGGGGCGGGGCTGATTGGCCGCGGGGCGGGCGCGTGACCTCGGCGGGCGGGGCTGCTGGCGCTGCCTGCGCGCGCGGCGGTCTTTGCGGGCCGGGCCTGCGCAGGTGCAGCCGGAGCCCCGCCCCGGGGCGGAGACACCCTCAGCCCGGCCTGGCGCCCGGATCCCGTCCCCGGCCCCGGCATGCAGTCCCGCAGGGACCGGCTGCGCATCCCCGCGCTGACCCTCGAGTGAGTCGGGCGCCCGGGGGTGGCGGGGGCGGCGTCTCCCCGCTCCGCGTCCCCGCGCGCGCGCCGCCGCCGCCTCGGGGGAGCCCGCCGGGTCCTCCGCACCCGGGTCCCGCGCGGACCCGCACGCAGCGCGGCCGCGGGGTCACCGTCCGCGGCCTTCCTTTGCAGCCTGTCCCCGAGCAGCCAGAGCCCGGCCCTGCTGAGCCCGGGCTCCCCATGCAGCCCCGCCAGCCCGGGCCCGGGCCTGCGGCCCTGGAGGTGAGTGAGCGCGCGGGCCTCGCCCTCCGGCCTTAGTTTACCGCCGGGGGGGGGGGGAACCCGGCCTTCGGCCCGGCCCTGCGTGGAACAGGTGGCTGGGAGGCGGGGCGCCCGCACAGGTGCTGCGTTCCCAGGCGGCCGGCTTGGCGCGGGCGGGGCGGGCCGCGGGAGGCGCCCCGCCCCATCCAGCTTCCCAGAGGAGGAAACTGAGGCCCAGACCGGAGCAGCCTGTTCTGCTTTGGTGGTGTCGGAGCCCGCACGGGTGCGGGTCCCGGAGTCCCGCCATCTACCGGGGGAAAGACTGAAGACTCACCTGGTGTGTTTTGCAGTCATTTACACCATAGTGTAATAAGGTGTGGGGGTGCTGTGCATTGGACTGGAATGGGGCAAAAGCAGAGCAAGAATGGAACAGAGAGGGAGGGGAGGAAACATAGGACCCGCCCGCAGGAGTGTAGCCGGTGCCTGGGCTAGGTGGAGCTGCGGAGGGGAGGAGCAGAGTCTCCCTCTGGAGCTCTGGGGCTGAGCCAAGGTGTCACTGAAAGTATGAATGGATCAGCTAGATTCCTTCAAGCAGAGGTGGTGTTTGTGCCGCCCAGTGAGGCGGCAGGGGAAGATTGATGTCAAGATGTAGCCAAAGGGCTGGGAAGGTGGCTCAGTGGCAGAGCACTTGCCTTGCATGCATGAGCCCCTGGGTTCGATTCCTCAGCACCACATAAGCAAAAAGAAAAAAGCCGGAAGTGGCGCTGTGGCTCAAGTGGTAGTGTGTTAGCCTTGAGCTGAAGAGCTGAGGGACAGCACCCAGGCCCAGAGTTCAGGCCCCACGACCAGAACCGACCGGACCCCCCCCCCCAAAAAAAAGTAGCCACAGCCTGTACAAACGTCCTGAGGCCAGCCGGGCGCCAGTGGCTCCCACCTGTCATCCCAGCTGCTCAGGAGGCTGAGACCTGAGGGTCGTGGTTCAAAGCCAGCCCGGGCAGGAAAGTCCAGGAGACTCTTATCTCCAATAAACCACCAGAAAACCAGAAGTGGCGCTGTGGATCAAGTGGTAGAGTGCTCCCCTAGAGCTGAAGAGCTGAGGGACAGCACCCAGGCCCAGAGTTCAAGCCCCACGAGCGACCAAAAAAAGTCCCCAAACACCCTGAGGCGGGACAGAGACTTTCTCAGCCGGTGTGATCGCCCACGGGTGAGGGGGCAGCGGTCAGCGCCATCTGGGTGGGGGAAGAAGGACCCTCCTAGCTGCCGTCCTGGAGCAGCCTGGGAGCAAGGCCAGCCCGAGCAGACCCTTCCCAAGCCAGGCCCGAGGCCAGAGCGAGGCACCTGTGAGTGGGGGGCAGTGGAGGCAGCAGCCTGGGCCGCCGGGGGGCGGGGGGGGGGGACCAGGGCTGCACCCAGGAGGGACAGGCCGGTGGGGGGCCGCAGAGCCGCACACTGGAGGGGTCCCCCCTAGTTGAGTTTCTAACCGTCTGGAGTTTAATCCCTGCCCCCGGGCTGCCTCCTCACGGACCCGCGCTTGCCGGCCGCCTGGCTTCCGGGTGGACACCTGGTCTGGCTCTCTGCACGCAGCCGGTGGACGGGGAGCAGGGTGGAGTTGAACCTTCTACCCGGCACCCCGGGCGGGGTTCAGGGGGCCACAGAGGGCGTGTGGCTGCAGGGGGTCGTAGGTCAGCCTTCAGAACTGACCCCTGCTGGGCAGAGGCCTTCTGGGCTATCTGCAGTGCCTAGATGGGGAAACCGAGGCCAGCGGGAGGGGCTGTGGGCACAGCATAGGGGGTCCTGTCCTGTGCTGGGCTCTTCCCTCAGGGGCATGGCTGGTTCTCAAATCGGGCCTCATCGTCCCCTGGGCCTCTGCTCCCCCTTCCTATTACCCCCACAGCCCCCCAGCAGACTTGGGGGTCCAGGAAGGGCCATTCAGACCACAGCCCTCCCTGCACTGACTCCCCATGGCTCTGGCCCTGAGGCCTGTGGTCTGCCCGAGACAGGCCTCTGCGGCCCTGGAGGCCCACCGAGCCTCCTTGCCCAGGTCTCAGGGCAGATCACCGGCTGATAGGGGACCCCTCTTTTCCCTTCTTCATTAGGAAGTCTAGAACCATCTTCAGGCTAAAGGTGAGGCTCAAGCAGCCAGGCTGTAAGTTCAAACCTCCAGGACCACCAGACCAACATAAAACAAGAAGCAGGGCTGGAGGCCAGACCTTGTGGCTCAGGCCTGCGGACGGGAGGCAGCCTGGGCAGCAAAGCCCAAAAGGCTTTCTTTTTCCATCAGTCATAAAACTTGACCTCAGGGCCTGGGGTCTGGGGCCTCACACCTGTCATCCTGGAGGTTCAAAGCCAGCCTGCGCAGGAAGGTCCGTGAGACTCTAACCTCCAATGACCGCTCAGTCTCCTGGAAGTGGCGCGCGGCTCCAGTGGTGGAGCCTTGAGTTCAAGCCCCACGACTGACCAAAACAAACACAAAACATCAAGTCTCAAGGACGTGGCTGCCCAGGCTGGCCTTGAACCGGACCCCCAGATCTCAGGCCGCCGCGGGGCTCCCTGAGTTCTGTCGGGCGTGGGCCTTGAACTCGGGGCCTGGCGCCGTCCCTCGGCTCAAGGCTGGCGCCGAGGACTCGAACCCGGGGCCTCGTGCGTGCGAGGCTGGCCCTGCACGCGCCTCTCCGGTGCGGCCAGGCTGGCCGCGGCGTCGCCTCCTCCCGCAGGAAGCGGGGCCCAGGGCCCGGGGTTCGCCGGACCGCGCTCGCTGCGCCGGGAGATGGGGAAACTGAGGCCTAGGAGTGCGGGGGAGGGGCGGGTCCGCGTCTGACCCCGGGCGCGGGGCTGTGCGCCGCGACGGAGCCGGCGGAGGGGGGCGGTCCCCACCCCCGGGAGACAGGCGAGCCCTGCGCCGCGCTCGCGGGACTGCGGCGGGACCGGCGGCGCCCCGCCCTCGCCGCCCGGCCCTAGCAACGCCCCGCCCTCGCCGCCCGGCCCTAGCAACGCCCCGCCCTCGCCGCCCACCGTCTTAGCGACGCCCGCCCGGCCCTCGCAACGGCCCGCCCATACCACCCAGGCCCTAGCAACGGCCCGCCCATACCACCCGGGCCCTAGCGGCGCCCCGCCCACGCCGCGCGGACCCTCGCGGTGCCCGCCCTGTGCCGCCCGGGCCCCTCAGGATTACGGGCCCTCGCGACCCGCGGTGTTCGCGACGCGCCGCCCACGCCGCCTGGGCCCTTAGCGACGCCCCGCCCAGGCCGCCCGCCGTCTTGGCGACGCCCCTCCCTCCCGCCCTCAGCCTTAGCAACGCCCCACCCACTCCCCCCACACGCGGCTCGCGCTCTTCGCTTCCGCCCCGCTCGCCCCGCCCCACACAGGACCCGCCCCCGGCTCGACTGGGCGGGGCTCCCGGCCGCGCGCTTCCTCCTCTAGCACTCGGGGTCGGGCCGCGGAGCCCCCGGCGACCCCCGCCCGGCCCCGGTTCTACGAGACTCCCGGCCGGCCCCGCCGCCGCGACCCGCGTCCCGCCGCCGCCGGCTGCGCCCCCGCGCGTCCCGGGTCCCAGGCGGGGGCGGCGGCACAAAGGGACGCGGCATGTCGGATCCCAGCTACTGGACGGCGGTGGCGGCTCCGGGCCATCGCAGCCGCCTGGCCAAGGGCGCGCTGCTGCAGCGCTCCAAGAGGTAGGCCGGGCCGGCCGGGGTCCCCGCGGGGGAGGGCGGCCGGGGTCCCCGCGGGGTCGGAGTCGGCCCGGAAGCCCGTGGCTGGTCTGCCTTCCCCTCGCTGCCGTTAGAAGTGTGGGTCCGACGCCAACACCGGGGTTCGGTGGCAGAGGCTGCCCCCTCGCCCCGCCGGAGGCCTGGCTTCCTCCTCTGAGAGGCCCAGCCGGAGCTGGGCTCCTGCTGACCTAGGTTCAAATCCAGCTCAGCCCTGCCAGGCCGTGTGGCCCGTGCGGGCTTTGGTGTCTACCAGCTGGGGTTGAACTGGGGCCTGGATGCGGGGCCTTGACCCCCGGGCTCCCTGGGGTGCGGAGGTACGAGCCTGGCACTTGGGTCCAGGGTGTGTGCCTTGGGGTACGCGCATGGCACTCAGGTTTGGCGTGTGCGCCGCGGGGCGCGCAGGTACACGCCTGGCACGCGGGTCCGGAGCGCCTCGGGGTGCGCGGGTACGCGCCTGGCACTCGGGTCCGGGGCGCACATCTCAGGGTGCACGGGTACGCGCCTGGCACGCGGCTCCGGGGCGCACATCTCGGGGTGCGCGGGTATGCGCCTGGCACTCGGGTCTAGGGCGCACATCTCGGGGTGCGCGGGTACGCGCCTGGCACGCGGCTCCGGGGCGCACATCTCGGGGTGCGCGGGTACACGCCTGGCACTCGGGTCTAGGGCGCACATCTCGGGGTGCGCGGTTACGCGCCTGGCACGCAGCTCCGGGGCGCACATCTCGGGGTGCGCGGGTACGCGCCTGGCACTCGGGTCTAGGGCGCACATCTCGGGGTGCGCGGGTACGCGCCTGGCACTCGGGTCTAGGGCGCACATCTCGGGGTGCGCGGGTACGCGCCTGGCACGCGGGTCCGGGGCGCGTGCCGCGGCGCCTAGGCTGGGTGACAGCCCTGCTGGGAGGTGACGGACGGGCAGCATTGCCGGCCGGCCTGGTAGGAGGAGGGCGACTATAGTGGCCGGCGTGCGCGCGCACCGTGCCACCGTGCCCGGGCGCGGAGACCCCGCAGCACTTGCTGCGGACCACCGAGTCTCGCTTGTACTTCTGAGTCTCCACGCTGTGCTGTTGACAGTGGCGGCCTCAGTTTCCCAGCCTGAGACCTGGGTCGGGCGGGGGGTAGGACCGGAGACTTGGGCAGCCTGTGAGCCCAGGCGCGGGGCGCAGGCGCGGGACTGCCGTGGGGAGATGTACGGGTGTGTGGGACCCCACTCCACACCCCTGCCCTAGGCCACCTCGCCCGGGGCTGTGTCCCCGGCCCGGCCCCGCCCAGCCAGCGGAGCTCAGCAGCTGTGGGTGGCTGGGGCCGCGTGGGCCGCGCTTGTCACCCGCGGAGCCGTTGCCGGGCGACTGCTGGTGGGGGGGAGGCGACTTCCCCGGGCGGGGCGGGGCCAGGGGAGGCCAGGCAGGGCTAGGCCCCGGGGCGGCTGGGGGCCGGAGGGAGGGCTGGGCACCCGCAGAGAAGGAAAGGTGGCAGGCCTCACACCCAGTGTGTCCTAAGCCTGTGTGGCGCTCACAGTCCTCCGGATCTCAGGATCGTGTTTGGAAGCCAGCTCAGGGCAGACAAACCTGTGACACACTTTCCTGTCCGCAACGCCACCACAAACATCAGAAGTAGAGCCGGGCCTTAAGCGGTAGAGCACCGGCTTTGAGTGGACAAGCTAACGGACAGCGCCCAGGCCCTGACTTCAACTCCAGTGCCCACCCCCCGTACAATAAAGAGAGGGCCCCGTGGTGAAGCAGGCTGCCTTGCACGCGCTGGGGGCACCCAGCTGGCACTTTGGGGGCGAGCTAGGAAGGTGTGAAGTGCAAGACCGGCCCCGCCCGCCGCGGCGGCTCACAGCTGTCCACGGTGACAGCTGGCCGGGAGGGAGCCTGCAGGCCACCGGCCACCTCGTCTCCGTCTCCACAGCTGCCGCAGTGGAAACCGCAAAAGCCTGGTGGTAGGGACGCCGTCGCCCACCCTCTCCCGGCCCCTGTCTCCTCTGTCCGTCCCCACGGGTGAGTGTGCGAGCAGCGGGGACGGGGGCCATGCCTGCGGTCCATCTCCACCCCTGACTCAGTTTCTCCACCTCCCCCTAGCAGGCAGCAGCCCCCTGGACAGTCCACGGAACTTAGCTGCCCTCAGCTTCCCCTTCGCCCGGAGGTAAGTGGGGAAGGCCAGGGCAGGGCCCTCCACGTCCTCTCTCCTCCTCTTCTCTCCTCCACACCTCCACAGCCTGGCTTGCCTGCTGGTGGACCCTTAGTAGTTCCTGCCTCTGGAACACTCGCTGTGCATAGACAGGTAACTGCACACAATTGGGGGGCCAGGAGGAAGCTGGGGACACACCATCAACCCATGGCTGCGGGCTGCTGTGTGCCCACCTCTTTCTGGGCAAGGAGCTGGGTCTCTGCAGCCAGGGCTGGGACCAAGGCCGCCAGCCACACCTCACAGGCCTGCGCCAGGACCTGAGCTGTCCAGGAGGGCATCCTGGGGCGGGGAAACGCACACGCACACAGCGACGCCGGGCCTGAGCCGGGGAGGCGCTTGTGGAAGGACTTCTCGGGCCGGCTGGTGTCTACCATCGTTCCTCCGGAGCCCCGGCACCTGCTGGCTGTCCTTCCATCTCCTCTCCTCATCCACAGCAGGGCAGACGGCAGAAGATGGTCCCTCGCGTCTCTCCCATCCTCTGGCTATGGCACCAACACACCCAGTTCCACAGTCTCGGTACCACTGGCTCCGGGGTGGGCGGACTCACACATGGTGCCGTGTAGGGTGTTAGGTAGTTGCCCTGGCTGCCCCTCCCCCTGTCCCCAGGGTCCCCTTGACCCTGAGATCCTTCAATCTACAGGACACGGACGTCCTTAACTCCTGAAGCCGGAATTTGATAAAAGGAAGATCTGGGGCTGCAGGCAGGGAGGGGGCAAGCATGGGGCGCTGAGGAGCGCCCAGGAGACAGGCAGGAGTTGGGCACGGCTCCGGGCCCTGACCCGCCTCTCCCCGCAGTCGAGCTCGTCCTCCCGGGAGCGCCTCCACCAGCTCCCCTTCCAGCCCACCCCAGACGAGCTGCACTTCTTGTCCAAGCACTTCCGCAGCTCCGAGAGCGTGGTGGACGACGAGGGGGGCCGCTCCCCACGCATGCGCCCCCGCTCCCGCAGCCTGAGGTGCGCCTGCAGCCCCACCCCAGCCCGGCCCTTCCCAGGCCTCCCTCGGCTTCCGGCCCAGATCCTGGGTCCCAAGCCCGCCTTCCTGTCCCTTGGCAGCCCAGGACGCACGTCAGGAACCTTTGACAATGAGATCGCCATGATGAATCACGTGTACCGGGAGAGGTTCCCCAAGGTGAGCCGTGCTGGGGTGGCCAGGTGGCCGGAGGGCCGGCCTTCCCCCTGCCTCACCCTGCCCTGAGCAGGACTGCCATCCTGCCGCCCCGCCCCTCGCCCCGCCCTCTGAGTGAGACTCCGCCCTCTGAGCAAGACTGCAAGGGTCCACTCCTCCCAGCCCCGCCCCTCGCCCCGCCCTCTGAGCGAGACTCCGCCCTCAGCGAGACTGCATGGGACCAGCCCCGCCCCTCACCGTGCCCCGCCCTCTGCGCACCGGCCCCGGCCCGCGCCCACCCTTTGCGCATGACTCCTCCCAGTCTTGCCCCCGACACTGCCCTCTTACCCGCCCAGGCCACAGCCCAGATGGAGGGCCGCCTGCAGGACTTCTTGGCGGCCTATGCGCCGGACGACGCCCGTCTGGCCTTAGCGGATGGCGTCCTAGGCTTCATCCACCACCAGATCGTGGAGCTGGCCCGGGACTGCCTGGCCAAGTCTGCTGAGGCCCTAGTCACCTCCCGCTACTTCCTAGAGATGCAGGAGAAGCTGGAGCGGCTGCTGCAGGATGTGTGTGGTGGGCGGAGCCGTGGCGGGCGGGGCTCTGCAGATGCGTCTGGGGGGCGGGGCCTATGTTGGGCAGGGCTGTTTGGGCGGAGCCTTGGTGGGCGTGGCACGAACCACTTCCTGACTTGGAGTGGCCACACCCACTCCGGGATGGGCGGGGCCCCGTGCCTCCACACCCGCCTGGAGGCCGGGTCCGCTTGCCCTACTTGACAGGCTCAGGTCCACGGTGGCCGTTCATGATGAGGTTCGGGGCCGGCCGTGGGGTGCGGCCGTGGTGACGCCACGCCCCTCGGCAGGCTCACGAGCGCTCGGACAGCGAGGAGGTGGGCTTCATCGTGCAGCTGGTCCGGAAGCTGCTCATCATCATCTCCCGGCCGGCGCGGCTCCTGGAATGCCTGGTGAGGCCCAGGCGGCAGTTCCGCGCGTGCGCGGGTGCGTGCGGCGCGGGCGGGGGCCGGGGCCGGCCAGGGCCTTGCGCTGGGTCGGACCCTGAGCTCTGGGCCCGCTCTGGTCCTGTGCGTCCAGGAGTTTGATCCCGAGGAGTTCTACCACCTGCTGGAGGCGGCCGAGGGCCAAGCCCGGGACAGCCAGGGCATCAAGACGGACCTGCCGCGGTACATCATCGGACAGCTCGGCTTGGCCAAGGACCCCCTGGAGGGTGAGCCCGGGCAGGGGTGTCCTGCAGACCCAGTACTTGTCTAGCACCTGCCAGGCCCTGGGTTCCATCCCCAGCGCCTCAAGAAGAGGACGGAAGGGACTGGACTAGTTAGGTAAGCCAGGCTCGGTCGGAGCCCCCAGCGCAAGCGCAGCCCGGCCGCAGAGACTGGCTTCCAGGTCGGGTGTGAGTGAGCGGCTCCTGCGTGTTCCCCGGGGCTACTGGGGCAGCTCCGAGCCCTGGGCAAAAGGGACCTTTCGGGAAATGAAGCGAGCAGGGCTGGGGGCGTGACCCAAGTGGAAGAGTAGGGGACACAGTGCCCGCTCCGGTGGCCCGGCCTGGGGAGGCAGCCTCCACACAGCCCTGGAGCGAAGATACAAGAGCATGGAGAGAGGCTGGACTCGAACTCAGGCCCTTGCTCCTGGTGCCCGCCTCAGTTTGTGACCACAGGACCTGGTTGCGTTGTCATCAGGTGTCTGTGTTCACCATAACTCACCAGGAATTGGCCCTCTGCACGTCTGGGTCTCGGAAGTAAGGGGGTCCCCAGGTAGCGCCCTGCGGCTGGGCGAGGCCTCCGCGTTCAGGCCGTTTCAGGTGCTCAGATATGGGAAGCCCAAAGGACCTACAGCCTTCCAGAGTGTTCTGTGGTCCTCAGTTTGGCTGTCCAGCCCTAGGAACCTTGTCCCTAGACCAGGAGGGGCCAGGCTGGACACCCTGCCGAAGGCTGCTGGCCCAGGCTGGGTGCCGGGACCCCAGCCTACGGGAGGACTGTGAGTTCTAGGCCAGCTTGGGTCCGAAGGGAGGCCAGGTCCGGAGGCGATAGGAAAAAGGCTCTTCCTTCCGCCCGCAGAGATTGTGCCTCTGAGCGACCGGGACGAGGGCCCGCCCCCCGCGCCCGGGTCCCCCGGCTCCCCCCAGGTGAGCAGCCGCTTGCACCCCTCCCCCGGTGCTTTCTGGGGAGGTCGAGGAAAGCTGAGTGAATGTCAGAGAGGAGCGGGGCTGACTGTGCGGGGCTGACCCCGCCACGGGGGTCGGGGAGGATCGGGCTGGGAACAGGGTGTCGCAGTTGGCAGGAGCAGCTGGGAAAGGGGGGTGCCGAGTGCGGGGTCTGTGGCAGGCCAGCGTGGCGCGGCCCTGTCCTCGGGAGGCCTGAGCCCCGCCTCCCGCCCCCAGAACCGCGCCCTGGCCGGCCCCGCTCGGAGAAAGCCTCGGGAGAGCGACTTCGAGACCATTAAGCTCATCAGTAACGGGGCGTACGGGTGAGTCCTGGAGACCCCCGCTTCCGGCGGCCCAGGGTGCCTCGGCCTGCTGCACACCTCCACCTGCACCACCTGCACGTCTGACACTGGGCGGGCGAGGCGCTGTCCTGGGGAGATGGGGGAAGGGTGACCCGGCGTGGGGGGGGGGGTGGAGGGAGGGGAGGGTGACCCGGCGAGGGGGGGTGGAGAGAGGGGAGGGTGACCCGGCGTGGGGGGGGGTGGAGGGAGGGGAGGGTGACCCGGCAGGGGGGGTGGAGAGAGGGGAGGGTGACCCGGCGGGGGGGGGGGGTGGAGGGGAGGGTGACCCGGCGGGGGGGGTGGGGGTGGAGAGAGGGGAGGGTGACCCGGCAGGGGGGGGGTGGAGGGGAGGGTGACCCGGCAGGGGGGGGTGGAGGGGAGGGTGACCCGGCAGGGGGGGGTGGAGGGGAGGGTGACCCGGCAGGGGGGGGTGGAGGAGAGGGTGACCGGGCAGAGGGGGGTGGAGGGGAGGGTGACCGGCGGGGGGGGGTGGAGAGAGGGGAGGGTGACCCGGCGAGGGGGGGTGGAGGGGAGGGTGACCCTGGAGGGAGGGGGGCGCGGCGCGGCCCAGCCCCGACCCCCGCGCCCCTCCCGCCCCGCAGGGCCGTGTACCTGGTGCGGCACCGCGAGACCCGGCAGCGCTTCGCCATCAAGAAGATCAACAAGCAGAACCTGGTCCTGCGCAACCAGATCCAGCAGGTGTTCGTGGAGCGCGACATCCTCACCTTCGCCGAGAACCCCTTCGTGGTGGGCATGTTCTGCTCCTTCGAGACGCGGCGCCACCTCTGCATGGTCATGGAGTACGTGGAGGGTGAGTGGGGCGCGCGTTCCGGGGGCGGGGCGGGGCGCGGGCAGGGCTCCCGGGCACGGCTTCCACGCCGCCCCGTCCGCCCCTCCCGCAGGCGGCGACTGCGCCACGCTCCTGAAGAACATGGGCCCGCTGCCCGTGGACATGGCGCGCATGTACTTCGCGGAGACCGTGCTGGCGCTGGAGTACCTGCACAACTATGGCATTGTGCACCGCGACCTCAAGCCAGACAAGTAAGCGGGACAGGGGCGTGGCCAGGGCGTCGGGGCGGGGCCGGTGCGCTGGGGGCGGGGCCATGGCGCCGGGGCCATGGCGCCGGGGCAAGGCTGGTGAGCTGGGGGCGGGGCCATGGCGCCGGGGCGGGGCCGGTGTGCTGGGGGCGGGGCCAGGGCGCAGGGGCGGGGCCGGTGTGCTGGGGGCGGGGCCAGGGCGCAGGGGCAAGGCTGGTGAGCTGGGGGCGGGGCCAGGGCGCAGGGGCGGGGCTGTGTGCTGGGGGCGGGGCTTCACAGTGCAAGGCCTCTTGACAGGCCTGCAGCCAGCACTGGGCCTTGGTGCCCTGGGCCTGCCTGGCGCGGCCTGGCTCTGGGTGCTGACCCAGCGGCCCCGTCCCTGCCCGCAGCCTGCTGATCACGTCGCTGGGACATATCAAGCTGACTGACTTTGGCCTGTCTAAGATCGGGCTCATGAACATGGCCACCAACCTCTACGAAGGCCACATCGAGAAGGACGCTCGCGAGTTCATGGACAAGCAGGTGGGCAGCCCCGGTCCTGGGTGGAAGAGAGGGCGGGCGCGGCGGGGTGGGAGGGCCCGGAGGAGGGAAGCCCGCATGTCCCCGCCTCTCAGGAGCCTGTCCCCGGGCGGGGGCGGCCTCAGTTTCCCTGTCCGGCCTGCTCAGGTGTGCGGGACCCCGGAGTACATCGCGCCCGAGGTGATTTTCCGCCAGGGCTACGGGAAGCCAGTGGACTGGTGGGCCATGGGCGTCATCCTGTACGAGTTCCTGGTGGGCTGCGTGCCTTTCTTTGGAGACACCCCCGAGGAGCTGTTTGGCCAGGTGGTCAGCGGTGCGTCGCCGGGGGCCCTGGCTTGGCGGCCGTTGGGGGGGTGGCGCCCTCACTCCCAGCTTCCTCTTCGGGCCTCCCCTCACTTCCGGCCTCCCACAGATGACATCGTGTGGCCCGACGGGGAGGAGGCGCTGCCGGCCGAGGCGCAGGACCTCATCATGCGCCTGCTGCGTCAGAGTCCCATGGAGCGCCTGGGCACGGGTACTGCGTGAGGCTGAGGGGCGTCCAGGAGAGCGGGCGAGGGTCAGCAGGGGTGGGGGGCACAGGGCTCAACATCGCGTTTGCAGGTGGCACCCATGAAGTGAAGCAGCACCCCTTTTTCTGGGCCCTGGACTGGGCCGGGCTCCTGCGGCACAAAGCTGAGTTTGTGCCCCAGCTCGAAGCAGATGACGACACCAGCTACTTCGACAGTACGTGGGGACGCGTGGGTCCCGGCTCCCCTCAAGCCAAGCCCCTTGCCTGACCTTGGGAGGGGGTCCCAGAAACCCCCATCCTCTCAGGGCAGGGCCCACTGGGGTTTCTCAAGGGGGAACCGAGGCCGGGTGTGGCAGAGCTTGGCTAAGTCCCAGGCCGTCCCACAGGAAGCTGGCAGGGACCCACGGGTGTGCCTGTGTGCAGACGTGTCCTGTCCCCCTTCCCACCAAGCGTGAAGCCAGCCTGCTCCATCAGTAGCTCTGTCTGGAATGTTCTGCCTTCCCCCCAGGCTATGCTCCCCCCCACCATGTACCCTGGGACCTGCTCACCTCAGGGCCTTTGCACTGGCTGCCCAGCTCCAGGAGCCCGGGCTGCCCTGCCTCTCCCCCAACAGCCCGCTCGGAGCGGTACCGGCACCTGGGCTCCGAGGATGAGGAGACCAACGACGAGGAGTCATCCACAGAGATTCCACAGTTCTCGTCCTGCTCCCACCGCTTCAGCAAGGTGGGCAGGGCTGGCGTGGCCGGTGCTGGTGTGATCTGCCTGGGACTGGCACGGTGGGGCTGCAGGGCTGGGGCTGGGTGTGGTCTACCTGCCGCGCCTCACAGCAAACTCTGTGGTTCTCACTGTTCTACAGGAGAGCCCAGCCCCCCAGCCCCCTTTCCAGTGTTGTACAATCACGTCTCTCTCCACCAAAGGACACCCTGTCCCTCCCAGGCCACCGCTGGCCCTCCATAGCTGCTGCTCCGTGTCCCAGCTCTGTGGGTTCATGGCCTCCGTGTTTCCTGTCCACAGTCTCACAGGCCTCTGTGCCTGGCTGCTGCCACTCTGTGCCAGAGCTTTGTTCCTTTTCACGGCCGAGTAATATTCCCCTGTGGGTGTGGACCGAGGTGAGCCCGTGCCGGGCTCCCCAGGGTGACAGCCACCCACTCAGCCTGTGAGCTCACCTGAAATGTCTCCTGTGTAACTCGAGCCCTGGCAGTAGGAGGAGCATCCTGAGGGCGGGAAGACCTGTCTGTGGCACCCGGCGTCCACACAGGATCCCCTAGGTCCACACAGCGTCTGCTGTGGCTTCAGGCTGCCGTGGTCAGGGCTAGAGGGGAGGCTTGGGGACACCACTAGCAATCCCACGTGAACCGCTCCTTTCCCACCAGTCTCAGCTTTGCTCTGTTCTTCTGTTTTTTATTTTTTGCTGGTCTTGGGGGTGGAACTCAGGGCCTGGGCGCTGTTCCTGAGCTTTTTCACTCAAGACGCAGCTCCAAATCAGGCCTTTTGTTGATTCATTGAAGGTAAGAGTCTTATGGACTTTCCTGCCTGGGCTGGCTTTGAACCGTGATCCTCAGATCTCAGCCTCCTGAGCAGCTGGGATGCAGGATTGAGCGATGGGTGCCAGGCTGCTCCAGTGTCTTTTGGGCCAGGGTCTCAGGGCAGCCCAGGGTGGCCTGGACCTCACTACCGGTCCGCCTCTCTCCTCGAACGGCTGCTGCCCTAGCCCCTTCCTGCCTCTCCAACCCCCAGGTGTACAGCAGCTCTGAGTTCCTGGCCGTGCAGCCCGGGCCTATGGGCTCTGAGAGGACCTTCAGCGAGGACCACGAGGAGGCCTGGGAGCGCAGGGGCGATGGGGAGATGGGCCGCCAGGGCCGCCGGCTGAGCGCCGACATCCGGTGAGCACCGTGCCAGGGATGCACAGTTTGATGTTGGAGGAGCTTCCTGGTGGCCAGTAGAAAAGCGGGAAACATCTTCAGGCCCCAGACACCCTTTTCCCTTTGGCTACAAACCAGGCAGCGGCGTGCTGCTAGACTCTTGTTCACACCATCATTGAATCCCTTTACTAACCAACTCTTACTCAGCCTTCAAAGCCCAGAGCCTCCACAGTGTGCTAAGTGGGAGTCGAAGGATGGGTTTTACCGGAGGAATAAGAGTTCCCCCCTGCCCCCACGAGCTTGGCCCACGCTAGGGCTGGGGTGACACGGCTGCTGGTCCCCACAGGCTGAGGTCCTGGACTGGCCCCTCGCAGCCCGAACGCAGCCCCACCCCGGCTCTCCCGGGCACCATCAGCCTGGACACGGTGCCCAAGTTCGCTTTCTCCTCCGAGGATGAGGCGCCAGGCCCAGGCCGTGAGGACCCCAGGAAGCCGGTCTTCATCCTCGGGGAGCCTGACGCCCCTCCGCCCTCCACCCCTGTCCCTCCCAAGCCCTGCAGCCTCTCGGGTAGGTGGGGGAGTGGGGCCGAGCGGGGTCAGTAGGAGTTCTCCAGATGCGTTGAGAGAGGCCTCAGCTCACGGCGGGGCGGGGTCGGGGCTGAGGCTGCGGCGGAGGGGCGGCTCGGGTCACCTGGGGGCGCCCCCCCACCGGCGCCCCGCTGACCCCGCCTCTCGCCTCCCCGCAGCCGACGCCGCGGCGCTCAGCCACGCCCGCCTCCGGAGCAACAGCACCGGCGCGCGCCACTCCACCGCGCGGGCCCTGGACGCCGGCCGCGGCCGCCGCCTGGGGGGCCCCAGGGACGCGGCCCCCGACAAGTCCCGGGCCTCCCCCGGCGGCGGCAGCGGCGGCGGCCGCGTGCCCAAGTCAGCGTCGGTGTCCGCGCTGTCGCTCATCATCACCGCAGGTGACCCGCACCGCAGCGGCCCTGGCGGCCTCAGTAGCAGCGGGGGGTGTGGCCAGAAGGCCAGTGCGCGGGGCCGGAGCAGCTGATAGGCCAGGCTTCGGTGGGGGCAGGGCTGGGACAGTCGGAGGATCTGAGAGGCTGTGATGAGGCGAGGTCAGAGCAGCTGATAGGCCTGGGTGGGGTGAGGCGGGACCTGCCGGGCCAGAGGCGGCTTGGGGGCGGGTCCGGCCAGCCTGGGGGCGGGGCCAGGAGGCGGCCTGGGGGCGGGTCCGGCCAGCCTGGGGGCGGGGCCAGGAGGCGGCCTGGGGCTCGACGCAGCCCTTCGCTACCCCGCAGATGACGGCAGCGGCGGCCCCCTCATGAGCCCGCTGTCCCCGCGCTCGCTGTCCTCCAACCCCTCATCCCGGGACTCCTCGCCCAGCCGGGACCCTTCGCCCGTGTGCGGGAGTCTGCGGCCGCCCGTGGTCATCCACAGCTCGGGGAAGAAGTTCGGCTTCAGCCTGCGCGCCATCCGCGTCTACCTGGGCGACAGCGACGTCTACACCGTGCACCACGTGGTCTGGGTGAGGCCCCGCCCCGGGCACGCCTCCCGGCCCCGCCCCGGCCTCGGGGGCGCGGGTGTGCAGGGCCGGCGGGGCCCCTGACCCCGCGTCCCGCCCGCAGAGCGTGGAGGAGGGCAGCCCCGCGCAGGAGGCCGGGCTCCGCGCGGGGGACCTGGTCACCCACATCAACGGGGAGTCGGTGCTGGGGCTGGTGCACGTGGACGTGGTGGAGCTGCTGCTGAAGGTGCCGAGCGGGACCCGGCGGGCGGGGGGCGCTCCCCAGACCCCGCCCCGAGCCGGTGGACGGGAGGGTGCCCGCACTCCCCGGTGACGCGGCCCGGCCGCCCCGCAGAGCGGCGGGAAGATCTCGCTGCGCACCACAGCGCTGGAGAACACGTCCATCCAGGTGGGCCCGGCGCGCAGGGCCGCCAAGGGGCGCATGGCGCGCAGGAGCAAGCGCGGCCGCCGGCGGGAGACTCAGGACCGGTGAGCGCGGCGGGCGGGACGGGGGAGGGGGCCGTCCTCCCACGACCGCCCTCACCCCGCGCCCTCCCCCCCGCGCCAGGCGGAAGTCGCTGTTCAAGAAGATCTCCAAGCAGACCTCCGCGCTGCACACCAGCCGCAGCTTCTCCTCCGGCCTCCACCACTCGCTGTCGTCCGGCGAGAGCCTGCCCGGCTCGCCCACCCACAGCCTGTCCGCCAGCCCCACCACGCCGAGCCGCAGCCCGGCGCCCGAGGCGCCCGCGGGTGCGTGAGGGCGGGCGCGGGGCCTTGGGCCGCCTGGGACCCGAGTAGGAACTGGCTGGGGCGGGAAGCCGGTCCGGCCTGCGCCGCCCTCACCCGCCCCGCCTGTCCCCGCAGAGGCCGCCTCCCCGCCCAGCGCCTCCCCGGCCGCCAGCAACCCCGCGTCCCCCGCCGCCGGCTACGCGCGGCCCAGCTCGCTGCACGGCCTGGCCGCCAAGCTGGGCCCGCCGCGGCCGCGCTCCGGACGCCGCAAGTCCACGAGCAGCATCCCGCCGTCGCCGCTGGCCTGCCCGCCCGCGCCCGCGCCGCGCGCGCCCTCGCCGCTGCCCGGCCTGGGCCCCGCGCGCTCCCCGCGCCTGCTGCGCCGCGGCCAGTCGGCCGACAAGCTGGGGCTGGGCTGCGCGGAGCGCGCGGACGCGGACGCGGGGCGGCGCGCGCGCGGCGCGGACGCCGAGCTGGTGGTGATGCGGCGGCTGCACCTGTCGGAGCGCCGCGACTCCTTCAAGAAGCAGAAGGCGGTGCAGGAGGTGAGCTTCGACGAGCCCGCGGAGGCGGGGGACCCCGCGGGCCAGCCCGCGCCCGCCGCGCCCGTGCCGCACATCGCCGTACACCGCCCGGGCGCCCCGCACTGAGCCGCCCGCGCCGCCCCGCGCCCGCCGCGGCCCTGTACATAGCCGCCGCCCACGCCGCGCCTGCCACTAATTTATTACTTCTTCCGAGCCACGCGGCCGCGCGCACGCGCCGCTCCGGGCCGAGACAAGCACTTTCGACGAGTCTGTGTCCGTGTGTCCTGTCCGTGTGTCTGTGTGACCCGAGCCCGTCTCCGGACCCGAGGCCGCGGGGGAGTCCGCGCGACGCAGCCGCCCAGGCCGCCTCGCTGGCGTCCGCCTGGAGGAAGGAGAGGGAGCTGGGGACGTGGCGGGTGAACAGGAGTTTGTCGGAACCGCAGCTTCACTGTGTGGCCCTGGGAAAGCGGCTTGCCCACCCTGTGCCTGAGTTTCCTCGTGTTTACGAGACTAACGGCTGCGAGGCGCCTCCCGTGCGCGGGGCTTCTGCTCGTGGCTTCCCGAGACGCTGCGGGAGGGGGTTCGGCATCCCCGCCCCGTGCACCCCGCCGGCCGGCCGGCAGCCGAGGCTGTGCATGACTCGCCCCGCCTTCGCCCCGGGGCCGGCAGCGAATAAAAGCCCACCCGTACCGAGCGCCTCCCGTGTGGTGTGTGGGGCTGGGGGCGGCGGGGGGTCGCCACGGACGCCCGGCAGCGGCCTCGAGCGCGGTCGCAAAGAACCAGACGCCTTCCGTCCCCGGAGACCCGGCGACCGCCACGCACTACCCGCGGGCGCAACGCGGGGCCGCCCGGACCGCGGGACCCCTTCCCGGAAGTCCCGGCCAAGCCCCCGTCAGCGGCTGCCACTATTTCCGGAAATAAAGCTGTAACCGGCGTCCGTCGCCGCCGCGCCTGCGCAGCTCGGGGACGTGCCGGACGCCGGCGGTTGCCATGGGAACGCGGCCGCCGCTTCCTGGGGGCTGCGTGGCGCTCGGCAGCTGCGCACGGCGGGTCGGGCCGGCGCCTCCCCCGCTCCCGCGGCCGGTCTGGTCTGGCTGGAACCGCCCGGCCCGAAGCGGCTGCGGCCTCCGTCTCCGCTCGGGCCGAGCCCAGCTCCAGGCGCGCGCGAGGCCTACAGCGCTCCGCTCTTCGCGGCGGGGCTCGGCCGTCTCCGCGCGGCCTCGTGCGCCTCCGCGGGAGCGCGCGCGTCTTCGCGCAGGCCCCGCCCCGCGCAGGCCCGCCCCCGGCGCCCTGCGGCCCGAGCGCGCTCGGCTGCCTCCGCCGGGGGCGGGCCCGGCCGCTCGGCGCCGGGGCTGACGCGAGGACCCGCGGCTGCGGCTGCGGCGAAGGCGGCCACGGGGCGCGCTCGGCCCGGCGACACCGCGACCGCGACGGCGGCGGCCGCCACCGGTGAGTCGGGGCGGGCCCCGGCGGCGGGGCCGGGCCTCGTCGTTGGAAGTGGGCGGCGCGGGGCCGACCCAGATGCGGAGGCCTCGGGCCCCACGCGGCGGCTGGGCCGTCGGGGGGGGCGCGGGGCCCCGGGGCGTCTGCGTGGCGGGGGCGGGGCGGGGGACGCGGGCGTCCCGCGTCGTGCGGGCCCGGGGGGGGGGGGGCGCGGAGGGCCTGGGTCTCCCGCTTCCGGGCGCGGACCCAGGCGGCCACCCGCCAGCCCTGCGCCCCGCCTGCCCCTCCTCTGCCTCGGTTTCCCCATCTGTGGGGTACGGGCCGGCCAGGGCTGAGCTCCCGCCCCTTCCGCCCCCCCCCCCCCGCGCCGCCTCCGCCCCCGGGTCGGGCTAAGCCTGTGCGCCCCGCACACCCCGCTCCCCGCCTGCGCCCCGTCCGCCCTCGGTGCCTCCTCGCCGTGGGCCTGGCCCGGCCCCACCTCCCCTCGGCCCCCCCAGCTGCCCGCCTGGGTCTGGAGCGGGGCCGGGCCGGCTTGACTCGGCCCCACTCCAACCCTCAGTTTCCCTGTCTGGCCGAGGAGCACCGCGTCTCCAGGGCTGCCCGCTGCCGCTGCCCGCATCCGACGGGGCGGCCCGGGCAACCCGCGTCTCCGGGGCCGACACCGCCCTGCCCTCCTCCCGCAGGCCATCGCAGCACCCGCCCGGGCATGGTGCGGGGTCGGGCCCAGTGATGGGCACCGCCACAGCGGCGTGACCGGGACCCCGACCGACGGCCGCCTTCGCCAGGACCCCGCGTCATGGGACGGCGCGGGCGCGGCCCCCGCTAGGCTCGGCTCCCGCCCCGAGCGCCTCCCGTGGACCCGGCCTGGCCCATGCGGCCCACGGGGCCCGCAGCAGCCGCCTGACCGCCGGCCGCCATGGCGGGCGCCCAGGGCTTCCAGTACCGGGCGCTGTACCCGTTCCGCCGGGAGCGGCCCGAGGACCTGGAGCTGCTGCCCGGCGACGTGCTGGTGGTCAGCCGCGCGGCGCTGCAGGCGCTCGGGGTGGCGGAGGGCGGCGAGCGCCGGCCGCAGGCCGTGGGCTGGATGCCCGGCCTCAACGAGCGCACCCGGCAGCGCGGCGACTTCCCGGGCACCTACGTGGAGTTCCTGGGGCCCGTGCCCGTGGCCAGGCCCGGCCCCCGGCCTCGGGGCCCCCGGCCGCTGCCCGCCAGGCCCCGCGATGGACCCCTTGAGCCAGGTGAGCCGGGGACGGGAGGCCTGGCCCTGCCCGGCGGGGCTGGCAGGTGGCTGTGAAGATGGAGCCCTTTGTGGGAGGCACTGAGGGCAGAGCAAAGGCCCTGGGGTGGGGAGGCCCTGGCCGGGCGGGGCGGGGCCAGCGGGGGGTTGGGGAGGAGTCCTCCCCCGCCCTAGCCGGTTACGGACAGCCACTGAGGCCACGCGCAACCGCCGTGACGCCGCGGGGCCCTTGCATAGCACCAAGTGCCCCCACCGAGGTAGAGGGGGGCCGTCTGGGGAAACTGAGGCTGGGTTGCGGGAGGTGCTCTTGGTCTCTGGGCCAGTGTCTTGCGGGGCTGCAGGCTGAGCGGCCGCAGCGCCGGCCCCTTGCCCGGGGCCTCTCTCCTGCACCCGGTCGGCCAGGCTCGGGGGCTCCGGACAGCGCATGCCGGTGGGCGGCCCGCACGCAGCCCCACGCGTCCCCAGCCGCGCCGGTTGCGGGCCGCTCGGGGAAGGCCCAGCTTCCCCCTTGCTATGGAGCCCAGCCACTCCGGGATGCCCAGGCGTTCTCCGAGCCTCAGGCTGGGGCCTAGCCCCGGCCCCTCCGCGGTTGCGGGGTTGAGGTGCAGAGTCCCCCCCCCCCCCCCCCCCGTGCTCTGGGAGCACTTTCTGTGCTGCGGGGCTCTCCGCAGCCTGAGGCCCCCCCTGGCCTTGCTGGGAGCGGCCTCGGGCCCCGGCCAGGCTGCCCTGCTGGGGAGCCAGACTGGACGGCTGCCGGTGGAGCGCCGCGGGCCCCAAGCCCGGTCCGCCCCAGCTCTGCCAGGGAGGAGGGCGCGGGGCTCCCGCCTGCCCCCCCCCCCCCCCCCCGCGTGCGGCCTTTGCGGGGACTTCCGGCCTGCCAGGCCGCGCCATGCAGGCGCTAAGTGGCTTCTCCTTACCAACCCCCGGCGGTGGAACCTGTCCCAGGGCTCCGCGCGGAGGCCGTGTGTCCGAAAAGGCCCCGGCCAGGCTGGGACGCCCCGGGGACCGGGCAGCCCTGGCCGGGCGCGTTGGTCGGGGGTCTGCGGGACCTCATCCCAGATCGCCTCCCCAGCCCTGGGCCCGCACCCGCCGGGCGCACGCGCTGGGCCCCCAGGCCGCGGTCCCTAAGGCCGGCGCTCCCCCAGGCCCCGTGCTCCCGGACCTGCCGGAACAGTTCTGCCCTCCGGACGCAGCGCCCCCCATTCTGCTGAAGCTGGCGGAGGCCTTGGAGCGGACAGGTGAGCGGCCGGCCGGCGGGGCCGGGGCGGGGGCCCCTGGCCGGCCTGGGCGTGGGGCCTGACTCGGCCTGGCGGTGCCCGTTCCAGAGCTGGACTGCGAAGCCTACTGCCGGCCCGAGCCGCCGGCCCCCAGGACAGGTGAGGGGGCGGCCCGGGGGGCGGGCGCGGGCGGGCGCGGGCGGGCGCTGACCCTGCACCCACAGACTGGGCGCTGGCCGACCTGGAGCAGTGGGACGCGGCCGCGCTGTGCGACGCCGTCAAGGGCTTCCTGCTGGCCCTGCCCGCACCGCTGGTGACCCCGGAGGCGGCGGCCGAGGCGCACCGGGCCCTGCGGGGTGAGCCTGGGGGGCAGCGTGGGGGGAAAGGGCGCCGGTTCCCGCCCGCCCCGCCTGAACCCCGGCCCTGTGTCCGCAGAGGCCGCGGGGCCCGTGGGGCCCGTGCTGGAGCCGCCCACGCTGCCCCTGCACCGCGCGCTCACGCTGCGCTTCCTGCTGCAGCACCTGAGCCGCATCGCCGGCCACGCGCCCGCGCCCGGCCCCGCCCTGCGCGCGCTGGGCGCCTCCTTCGGGCCTCTGCTGCTGGGCTTGCCTCCACCCTCCTCGGCGGGAGGCGTGTCCGAAGGGTGAGTGGGCGGGGCCTCGGGGCAGTGGGCGGACGGGAGGAGCAGGTGTGGGTTAGTGTGAGTGGGCGGGGCAGCAGGCGGGAGGAGTGGGTGTGGGTTAGCGTGAGTGGGCGGGGCCTCGGGGCAGTGGGCCGGCGGGAGGAGCGGGTGTGGGTTAGCGTGAGTGGGCGGGGCGGCTCTGGGGTCCCTTTGGGGGGGGACTGGGGTTTGGCGGAGGGCTGAGGTTTAGGAGGAATTCCACGGTGAGGGAAACCAAGCCGTCTGGTGTCTAGAGGAAACGGCAGGGGGTGGCGGGAAGAAGGATGGGCGGAGCTCCTGAATGGGCGGAGCTCCTGAGTAAGTGGTGCCTGAGGGGGAGAAAAGGTCGTGGGTGGGTGGGCGTGGTCTGTCAGGTGGGCGGAGCTTGAAGGGCGTGTTCAGAGGCTCCAAGGGAGGGGAGGTGCCGGTGGTTTAGTGAGTGGTTGGGGGCGTGACCTGGGAAGAATCGGGGTCTAGGGAAGTGGGGCGTGGTTACCCTCGTGTGGGCGGGGCCTGAGAGAAGTCCTCCTGTGGAAAAGCGAGGATGGGGCTTGTGTGGGCGGGGCCTCGCCCCTCCTCCCCGGGGGCGTCCCCTCCTGCCACGCCCCGGCTGAGGCCCCGCCTCCCGGCTTCCCTGCCTCCCCTCCCATCCCCCAGGAGCGAGCCTGGGCCTGACTTCCCCGCGCTGCTGGTGGAGACGCTGCTGCGGGAGCACATGGAGGAGCGGGAGGCCTTGCCCCCAGGTGACTCCGTGGCCCAAGGGGAGGGGGCGGCCTCCGGGCCGCAGGCGCTCACCGTGCCCTCCCTTGCCCAGCGCTGCCGCCCAAGCCGGCCAAGGCGAAGCCCGGGCCCGCGGGCCTGGCCAACGGGGGCGGCCCGGCCTCGCTGCAGGACGCCGAGTGGTATTGGGGCGACATCTCCAGGTAGGCGGCCGCGGGGGCTCGGGCGGCTCGGGGGGCGGGGTGCCCTGCCTCACCCTGTGTCCCCCAGGGAGGAGGTGAATGAGAAGCTCCGGGACACACCCGACGGCACGTTCCTAGTACGGGACGCGTCCAGCAAGATCCACGGCGAGTACACGCTCACACTCAGGTGCGGACTGGGCAGGGCCGCCGACCTCACCCCCCTTCCCCCCCATGCGGGCCGCTGACTTCCCCTGCCCCCCCAGGAAGGGTGGCGGCAACAAGCTCATCAAGGTCTTCCACCGCGATGGCCACTACGGCTTCTCGGAGCCGCTGGCCTTCGGCTCCGTGGTGGACCTCATCACCCACTACCGCCATGAGTCGCTGGCCCAGTATAACGCCAAGCTGGACACACGGCTGCTCTACCCGGTGTCCAAGTACCAGCAGGTGCGAGCGGTCCAGGAAGGCCTTGGGCCCCATCGGCCTCCTGCTGCCCCTGACCTGCCTTGTGTGCCCAGGACCAAGTGGTCAAGGAGGACAGCGTGGAGGCAGTGGGTGCCCAGTTGAAGGTCTACCACCAGCAGTACCAGGACAAGAGCCGAGAGTATGACCAGCTATACGAGGAATACACACGGACCTCCCAGGTACTGAGGAAACTGAGGCTGGAGGGGCTGAAGCGAGGAGAGTGTGTCCACTCCAGCTGCAGGTCACAGCCGGCTCTGCACCCAGGCTGCTCAGAAAACCTAGGCGCCCGGCCATGCAGTTGTTTGCTGCTTATAGCCAGTGCTTGCTGGGAACTGCAGCCCAAGTGGCTGTTGCACACCTGCTGATGTTCAGAACGCACCCCAGGCCAGGGCCAGCCCGGCTGCCAGGCACACCCTCCGCACAGGACATCCTCACAGGGACGAATACTGAGGTTCCCCGCGTCCATGATGCGGAGAAACCAGAACTCTCCCACGGCCGGAGCCCGCGGGCCCACGTTCCCCACAGTGATAGAAAGACCCTGTGGTTAGCGAGGAGGCTCTGGAGGGTCTGGGAACTGAGTGTTGATGACAGAGTAGGAGTTTGTTCTGTGTGTTGTGAGTGTCCCCTGGTCAAGACTTGGAATCTGTCTTCCACCCTTGGAGTGGGGTCTGGGGGAGTCTCGGGAGAAAGGACACCCGTCCTCACCCCTCTCTCCAGGAGCTGCAGATGAAGCGCACGGCGATCGAAGCCTTCAATGAGACCATCAAGATCTTTGAGGAACAGGGCCAGACTCAGGAGAAATACAGCAAGGAGTACCTGGAGCACTTCCGGAGGGAAGGCAATGAGAAGGAGATGCAGAGGTGAGCCACCCCCCAACCCGCCCACCCCACCTGACCTGCTGCCACAGAAGAGGCGGGGAGGAGTCCAGCCAGCGTTGGGGGGGAGGACATGGGCCTTGAAGGGTGAATAGAAATTCAACTGAAGTCACTGAGCTGAGGCTCCCGCCCAGAGAGGGTTCTGGAAAAGCCCATACTTGTCCTGCTCCCAGGATCCTCCTCAATTCAGAAAGGCTCAAATCTCGCATCGCTGAGATTCATGAGAGCCGCACGAAGCTGGAGCAGGACCTCCGGGCTCAGGCCGCCCAGAACCGCGAGACAGACAAGCGCATGAACAGCCTCAAGCCGGACCTCATGCAGCTGCGGAAGATCCGGGACCAGTACCTCGTGTGAGCGGTGGGGCAGGGCGGGGGGTGGGCGCTGGCGCACGGCCCCCTGGGCCTGCCCGCCCTGGTCTGCACTTTTCACTTAGCTGGTTGAGTCCTTTGTGAAGTTTGTCTTTAACCACCAGGGAAACTGAGGCATGGGAACAGCCGCTGCTGGCTGCAACCCCCAGGCCGACCTGCTGCCGCGGCGGGGGGGGGGGGGGGGGGGGGGGGGGGGGGGTCTGTCACAGAGTAGCCAAGGCTGGTGCTCCGGGCCGCAGCCTCTCCCCTGCCGTGCGGCCCGGCCTCACCCTGCTTCCCTCCCAGGTGGCTGACCCAGAAAGGCGCCCGGCAGAAGAAGATCAACGAGTGGCTATCAAGAATGAGACAGAGGAGTGAGCGGGCTGGGACGGGGGTGGGGGACAGGGGCGGGCGGGGGGGGGGGGGGGGGGGGGGGGGAATCGGCGGGGCGGTGGGCGGGCGCGTGGCCAAGGCCATGCCTGCCTCCCGCAGCCAGTACTCGCTGGTGGAGGACGAGGAGGACCTGCCGCACCACGAGGAGCGCACCTGGTACGTGGGCAGCATCAACCGCACGCAGGCCGAGGAGATGCTGAGCGGCAAGCGCGACGGGACCTTCCTCATCCGGGAGAGCAGCCAGCGAGGCTGCTACGCATGCTCTGTCGTGTGAGTGTCCCGAGCAGGCTCCGGCCCCGCCCTCCAGCCCCTGCCCGTGGGGGCCGCGCCTGCCCGCTGACCCCGCGTCCCGCCCGCAGGGTGGACGGCGACACGAAGCACTGCGTCATCTACCGCACGGCCACGGGCTTCGGCTTCGCGGAGCCCTACAACCTGTACGCGTCGCTGAAGGAGCTGGTGCTGCACTACCAGCACGCGTCCCTGGTGCAGCACAACGACGCGCTGCCGGTCACGCTGGCCCACCCGGTGCGCGCGCCCGGCCCAGGCCCGCCGCCGCCGCCACACGCCCGCTGAGGACCGGCCCCGGCCCCCGGGCCCTCGGCCCCGGCCCCCCGCGCCGCCTCCACGCCGGGTGCCCCCTCTCCCGCCGTGTTTACAGAGGCCCCGGCCTGGGAGCCCGTTTCTAAGCCATAGGCCCGAGGTGGGGCCAGGAAGGAACTTGGCCCGGCTGCTGCCGAGAACCTCGGCTGTGACATTTGGGGCCGGGCGGGACCCGCCCCGCCCGCCGGACCCCAACTTCCCCTACCAAGGCTGAAGTGAAACCAGCCGCTGGGGAGAAGCCCCCGACCCCGGGCGGGGGACCTCACACAACCGGGAGCCGGCACACCCCGGTCACCCCGACCCCCGGGTCCCGCAGGCCTCGGTCCTGCCGGACCGTGCTGTATTTTCTCCCCGGACTGTGACACCCCATGTTTTCCTCCCTCGGGGCCAGGGCCCCACTGCCCGACTCCGGCCGGTACGTTGTCACTGGTACGACATAAACCGTTGACCCTGGCGGCTGCTGTGTGTGGGAGCCCCAGCGCCCAGGGGACCCTGAGCCCGGGCAGGGGGTGGGGGGCCTGGAGAGGCCCGAGAGGAAGCCCGACCCAGGGCTGCTGGCGGGAGGGGGGCAGAGGACGTGGGTTCGGGGCCAGCCTCCCCGCCAGGCGCCGCCGCTCTGCGTCTGGGCCCAGCGCGCCACGCACGGACGGGGCTGGGAGGAACGGGGTGCGGGCCCGGGCCCTTGGCGCCCTGCGGGCTTCAGCTGTGGCCGCTCGGGTGCCCGGAGAGCCGGTGCCACCCCGGAAGGGGGGCCGGAGGCCCCGCACTCGGGGCGCCCCGGGGACGCGGGCTCCTCTCCACGGGACTGACGGTCTGGCTCGGCCAGCCTTGGAGGGTGCCCCCGCTCTGCCCGGGCCCTCCGGGGCTCTGGTGCGGGGACCCCGCCGCGGGGCGCGCAGGGAGGACGGCGCCAGCTGGGTCCCCACCCCAAGATCTGGGGAACGAAGACCCCCGACGTGCGGGCTCCTGCGGATTTGCCAAATTCTTCTTTGCAGTTTGTAGCCTATTAATACATAGTTGTTTGATGTTGAAAAAATATATCTGTTGAACTAGATTATCTCTGCAGGCTTTTGACTGTGCAATTACATATTTTGTTGACGCTTGCCTTAAGATAGTTTTCTAGCACAAAAGTGGTATTACCCTCATGTCAAAAGGGCAGAATAAGCAGGAAAAAACAGAAGAAAAATGGCAAGTCTGGGTATCACAACTCCCACTCATGATAATCAGTGGACAGAACAGATAATGAATAATTCAGAGGAGAGCTCAGAAAAAACTCTACAAACACTAATGGTAAACATGGTAAATAAAAAGATTGAAAACCTGCAAAAGACTCTGTGTGAGCATGATAGGAAGAGAGAGGAGGCAAACCAAAGATCAAACAGGAAGCTGATGGGCGTGAGGAAGTCCGAGGGGACGGACGCCTGCCAGGTAGGGGCGTGGGTGCTCCGGCGGACGGCGGCCCCGGCGCTCGCTGCCCCCCACCCCCGCGGCCCCGGACCAGCCAGCGCCCGCGTGCCAGCCGGGCTGACCCCGGGCCTCGCTGCCCGCGCCGGCGTCCCGGGCCGGATGTCCGCGGGGTCCCCGTGGGTGAGGGGCGCCCGACCCGCCGGCCGACCGCATTTCGGGCGGGCCCTCGGGGGCCCGGGCGGAAGTGAGCGCGGCCCGGCGCTGCCCGCGGGAGGAAGGGTAAACACGGGGTGCGGGCGTCGCGATAAGGAGCAGCGGCTCCGGCGACGCCCCGCGCGGGCCGGGCGGCGCCGACGCGCACCTGCGGGGGCCGGCGGCGTGGCGGGCCGCGGCTGGCGGGACGTCTGCGGTCCCCCGGGGCGGGCCTCGGCTGGCGGGAAGTCTGCGGTCCCCCGGGGCGGGCCGCGGCTGGCGGGAAGTCTGCGGTCCCCCGGGGAGTGGGGACTTCGCGCGAAGTCTGCGGTTCCCTGGGGCGGGCCGGGGTTCGCGGGAAGTCTGCGGTTCCGCGCGACTGGAGCTCGATCCCAGGCCCGGGCACTGGGGGTTCCCATTCCCCCCAAGGGAGCCCGGGGCGCGGGCGCCGCCCGGCTCCTCCGCGCCGGCGCTCGGCCGCCTGAGCCACGGCCGCGGCTGCCGCCTTCGCCGCCTCCGGGGCTTTCCCGCCGCGCTCAGCCTCCCGAGTCGCCGCGGTGGGGGCCCGGGGGTCCCGCGGGCCGCGCCCCGTCACCCTCTCTGCAGCCCCAGGGCTTCTGCCTGCGCGGCGCCCCGCGCGCGCGCTCGGCCGGCGCGGTGAACGTGAGCCTCTACTACGAGTCGCTGTGCGGGGGCTGCCGCGGGTTCCTGGTGCGCGGCCTCTTCCCGACCTGGCTGATGGTGCTGGAGATCCTCAACGTCACGCTGGTGCCCTACGGGAACGCGCGGGTGCGTGCGGGGCACGGGAGGCAGTGGGGGCGACGCGGGGGGCCGGCGACGCGGGCTGCCCTCACTCGGCGCGGGTCCCCAGGAGCGCAACGTGAGCGGCTCGTGGGAGTTCGAGTGCCAGCACGGGGAGCGCGAGTGCGCGCTGAACAAGGTGGAGGTGAGCAGCCGGGCGGGGCGGGGAGGGGCCGGGGGCGGGGCCTGGGAGGAGGCGGGGGCGGGGGCGGGGAGGAGCCAGGGGCGGGGCCTGGGGGCAGCCGGGCCGGGGAGGAGGCGGGGGCGGGGCCTGGGAGCAGCCGGGGCGAGGAGGAGGAGGAGGGGCGGGGAGGAGCCGGGGGCGGGGCCGGGCGGGCCGCAACTCACCCAAGACCCCCAAGACCCCGGGCCTCGCCCCAGGCCTGCGTGCTGGACCTGCTGCCCCCCGACCCCGCCTTCCTGACTGTGGTGTGTCTGGAGGAGATGGATGACATGGAGAAAAACCTCAGACCGGTGCGGGGCGCCCCGGGCGGGCGGGGAAGCGCGGAGACTGCGGGGGGCGGGGCTACGCGGAGGGGGGGCCGCCGGCGACCCCCACACACGGCGACCCTCACACACCCCGTCCCCCTCAGTGTCTGGAGCTGTACGCCCCGAAGGTGAGCCCCGAGCAGGTCCTGGCGTGCGCCTCCGGGGAGCAGGGCACGCACCTCATGCACCGCAACGCGCAGCTCACCGACGCCCTGCAGCCCCCGCACCAGTATGTGCCGTGGGTCGTCGTGGACGGGGTGAGTGTCCACACGGCGGGGCGGGGGCCGGCGGGGACCCCCCCCTACTCCGCACGAACCTCGCTCCTCCTCGCAGAAGCCTCTGAAGGACCTGAGCCAGCTCCTGAGCGTGGTGTGCCAGCTGTACCAGGGCACACCCAAGCCCGACGTGTGCTCTGCCGTGCCCCGCGCCCCCAGAGACGTGCCCCGCGCCCCTAGAGACGTCTGCCGCAAGTGACCACTCCTACACGGCCCTCAAAACCCACCCCGGGAAACCCCACCACCAGAGCCAGGGCCCCGCCTCTCAGAGAACAAACGGTGCTAAATGTATGCTCCGAGGAACCTGGGAGCTTCGGCTTGCGGTGATTTATTTCTTGTGGGGTGGAGCCCTTCCTCCCCGGAACCAGGCCTTGACCTCAGGGGCCCACCCCGCCGGGAATGTGCCTTGTTTGGCAAACCACAAAAACCTCCCAAGGAAAACACTTTTTAAAAAAAAAAATGGTTAGGGGGCTGGGAAGGTGGCTCAGTGGTAGAGTGCTTGCCTTGCATGCATAGGCCTTGGGTTCGATTCCCCAGCACCACATAAGCAAAAAGAAAAAAAGCCGGAAGTGGTGCTGTGGCTCAAGTGGTAGAGCACTAGCCTTGAGCTGAAAAGCTGAGGGACAGTGTCCAGGCCCAGAGTTCAGGCCCCACAACCAGACCCAAAACAAACCAAAAAAAGGTTAGTCTTGGAGCTTGAACTCAGGGTCTTAGCGCTGTCCCTGAGGTCTTTTGCTTGTGGCTGACCCTCTACCACTTGAGTCACAGCTCCACTTCCGGTTTTCTGGTGGTTGAGTGGAAGTAAGTCTCCCCGACTTTCTGCCTGGGCTGGCTTAGAACCACCATCCTCAGAGCTCAGACTCGTGTCTAAGAGTTTGTGTGGCAGAACAAGGATCTGTGCCTTCAGCAAACACCCCAGCCCTGGGCCCGGCTTCCACAGGGACAGGAGCCGGCCCGGGTTGGAGAGGGGATCCAAGGGTGACAGCTCCTCCAGGAAAGAGGAAGTGGGGCCAGGCCTGGCCAGGAGTAAGATCTGGAGCTGGAATCCCCCGCCTAGGCAGGGACGCATGCTGAGTGTGGCTTCAGACCACGAGGGCCCCAGAGAGGCTCGGGTGAACTCCAGCCCCTTGGGCACAGACCGGGACTCCTGCTCTGGTGGTTAAAGGCAGCCCTAGTGGGAACACAAAGGCCTCAGCCTCTGTCCGGGCTCCGGTTGCCGGGAGGCTGAGGCTGGAGGATCGCACGCCCAGGCACGGGAGGCTGGCCTGGGCCGCAGACAGACACATCCCACCAGACTGCCCCGTCTCAACCAAAAAGTGGCAAGAAAAGTAAAACAGAGGAGGCAGGTGCCGTGGCTCACACCTGAAATCCTGTTGCTCAGGAAGCTGAGATCAGAGGGTCAAGGATGGCAGCCAGTCTGGGCTGGAAAGTCCGGGAGACTAGTGAACCACCAAAAATCCTTGAGTGGTGCTGTGGTTCAAGTGATAGAGCACCAGCCTTGAGCAAAAAGAGCTCAGGGACAGGCCCAGGACCCTAGTTCAAGCCCCACAACCACCACAACAAATTTCAGGATGGTTGGGTACAGACAGGCATTTGCCTCACTGGTTAGCCGAGTGGGTAGCGGGAAGGACGGGCACACAGGATGTTCCCAGGAGGGACACAGGTGCCAGGCTGCCACGTTGCAGACGCTGCCTGCGTGCGTGGGAGGGAGGGGTCCTGTGTCCCCCTCACCTACCTCTGCAGCTGTGGCTCTAGCCGGCAGGGTGGGAGGGGGGGGCGAGGTTGGAGATATCCAGGCTGGGCACCCAAGAGGCCTGGCCAGTTAGTGGCCACCCCACCCACTCCAGAGCAGAGCAATGGAGGCACCAGGTCCCAGGACAGGCTTGGGTAGGATTGGTCATGGTTGCATATTTGCATAAATGGAAGGCTGCTTGGGTGGGCGTGGTCATGGATGTATAATGAGTACATTTCCTATCCAGCATTGTTACCCCTTTTGTTTTTCCCCTACCATCCCTTCCCTCCCATCTCCTCCCATCCCCCCCCCCACATAGTTAATAGGAGCATCGCCACTCTGCTCCTGTGTGTGCTGGCTTACAAGCAGGAGGGCTTCCTGGAGCTTTTCCACTTGGGCTAATTCTCTACCACTTGAGCCACAGCTCCATTTCTGATTTTTGGGTGGTTAATTGGAAATAACAGTTTTATGGACTTAACTGTTCAGGCTTGCTTTCCATTTGAATCCTCAGATCTCAGCCTCCTGGAGCTACCAGCGCCCAACTTTATTATTATTTTTTTTTTAATTTTTTTTGCTCAAGGCTAGCACTCATCACTTCAGCCACAGCTCCACTTCTGGCTTTTTCTGCTATGTGGTACTGAGGAATTGAACCCAGGGCTTCATACATGCTAGGCAAACACTCTACTGCTAAGCCACCTTCCAGCCTATTTTTTTTTTTATTTCTTAAATGCAGATATACCAAACAGTATTATGAATTAATAGTAGTAGTATTTTGCACTCCTGGTGTCTGAATGCTGGGCCTTGAATTGGCTGGGCTCCAGCACTCAGCCATGCCCAATCCTAGCCAGAAATTCACTGGACTGCCGTGGGATGATCATGCCTGTGACCCCAGGTTCCCAGGCAGCCCCATCTCCAGAGCAAGGCTTCAGTTGGTCTCTGCAGCCTGACGAGCGTCCACTGGGGAATCCACTGGGAAATGGTGTTGGTTCCTGCATGGACTCCCAGGGCCCAGGGCTTAGCCTCTTCATATGACTCCTGTCTTCCCAGTGCTTCCTGCAGGTGCTGCTCCTCGGGGCCCTTTAATCCCAGGCAGTAAAGATTTTTATCGGGATCACAACTTAATCACCCAGGCCATAGAGATGTACTTTGCTCCCAGAATCTGAGGTGACTGTGGCTTTTAGACAAAGCTACCTGTGATCCTCGGTACCCAGAGACCCTCAACTTCCCCCTCCATTTTCATTATTTTTCTGTATTCCTTTGGTCATAGTTAACTGCTATCTCACTCTCTAAATTATAATTAAAAAGAGCACCATTAGCTGACAGCTGGCCACTAGGTGGTCATCCTAGCTGCTGGGGGGACAGAGGGCTGAAGGCTCTCAGTTCGAGTCCAATCTAGGCAAAAGAGATTAATAGACCCAGCCAGGCCACGTAGCTCACACCTGTCATCCTACCCAGGAGGCTGAGATCTGAGGATCACGGTTCAAAGCCAGCCCAGGCAGGAAAGGCTGTGAAACTCATCTCCTACCAAGCCCCAAGACCAACCAAAAAAAAAAAAAAGATCTGGGGATGAAGGAGCCGCCCCCCAAGGCCCGGAGTTCAAACCCAGGACCGCCACCTTTGCACTGATTTGCTATCTGTAGCCCACAGAGCCCGCACGCCGGGCAGAGGTCAGAGCCAAGGTCAATGTCTAATCCCGCCCCCCGGGAGGCGCCGGACTCCGACTTCCGCCTCCCGCAGTCGCGCAAAAGCGGCTCAGGGTCCCACAGCCAGTTGTGGAAACCCGGCTGTCAACCAAACCCAAGAGCTGCCCAAGGATTGGGCAGCTCAGTGTAGTGGGCGGGACCGCTCTCCGGGACGTCGCTCTGCCATTGGCTGGTACTGCCGGCAGGAGTGTGGCGGCGGCTATCTATGGGCGAGTGCAGAAAGAGCCGGGGAAATAAGGTCAAGGCGTCAGTAGTGCATGCGTGATGAATCGCTAAGCGATTGGTCGGCCCGTCCAGGAGGCGTGTCCCAGTTTGGGCACCGTGGAGTTCCGCGATGGTCGGCGATTGGTTGATTCGGTTCTGGGACGGGCGGGAGAACGGCCCGTGGTTGGTCAGCGCCGGCGCGTGTGGCCGGTCTCGCTCGCGGCGGAGACTCGCGATTGGCCGGGCCGGGGCGGGGCGTCACTCGGCTCCCCGGCCGGCGGCGATGGCGCAGGGCGGCTGGCGCTGGGTCCGCGGGCTGTGGCTCGCGGGGCGGCCCCTGTTCCAGGGTCGCGCGCTGCTGCTGACCAACACGCTGGGCTGCGGCGCGCTCATGGCGGCCGGCGACGGCGCTCGTCAGGCCTGGGAGATCCGCGTCCGGCCGGGGCAGAGGGTCGACCCGTGGCGCTCAGGTGAGCACGGCTCGCCGCCCCCCGGGCACCCCGGGGGCCTTAGATCCGGGAGACGTCCGTGCGCACGGGACGCGGCGCGGGGCGCAGGAGCGAGGGGCGCGGGCGGGCGCCCCGGGGCGGGCCGGGGCGGGGGACCGCCCGCCTGGCCGGCCCTCACGCACTGCGCCCTCAGCCCGCATGTTTGCGGTGGGCTGCAGCATGGGCCCCTGCCTGCACTACTGGTACCTGTGGCTGGACCGCGTCCTCCCCGCCGCCGGCCTGCGCGGCCTCCCCAACGTCCTCAAGAAGGTGCTGGTGGACCAGCTGGTCGCCTCTCCCCTGCTGGGCGCCTGGTACTTTCTGGGTAAGGAGCGCCTCGGACCCGGGGCTCTGCCTCTCCTGGCGGGGTGGGAGGCCTCCGGGGCCGGGGGCCGGAGCCAGCCGGGACGCCGGGCGGAATCCGACACAGGCTCGGGAGAAGCCGCGGCCTGGCGGGGGCACGACGGGGACTGACGAGGCCGCGCGAGGCCCCGGGGCCTGGGCGCGAAGCGAGGCGGAGCTGGGCGGGCAGAGCCGCTCACCTCACGCGGTGAAGGAGGGACACGGTTTCCAGCGCTGTGTTAACGTCCTTCTAACTCCCCTGACCGCCCCGTTCCCGCTCCCCTCGGCCCGGACCCCGGTCCCTGGGCGGTCCAACCGCCCCTACTCCGACTCTTACTCTTAGTTTCCTTCCCAGGCATCGGCTGCCTGGAGGGCCAGACTCTGGAGGAGAGCCACCGGGAGCTGAGGGATAAGTTCTGGGAGTTCTACAAGGTGGGAGTCCCGCCCCCAAGGCCCCGCCCCCGGGCCCGGGCCCCGCCCACTGCCGCCCCACCACTCCCCTCCCACTGTCCTCACAGCTGCTCCGCCCATTTTAAGCCAAGTTCCTCCCACCAGCAGAACCACGCCCCTCTGAGCTGTCGGTCCCGCCCCGAGGCGCTGACCACGCCCCCAGCGCTGGCAGCCCCGCCCCGAGGGGCCGTCCCCTCTCTCCCCCCCTCCCTCCTCACCGTCCGCCCTGCTGCGTCCCGCAGGCCGACTGGTGCGTGTGGCCCGCCGCACAGCTGGTGAACTTTCTCTTCGTGCCACCCCAGTTCCGGGTCACCTACATCAACTGCCTGACGCTGGGCTGGGACACGTACCTGTCCTACCTGAAGTACCGGGTGAGCGTGCGGGCCGCCCGCTGGGGCGGAGGGCGCCTTCCCGGCAGAGGTGCAGCCTGCCCCGACCCCGCGGGGCGCGTGGGGGGCGCGGGGCAGGCGGGCGCCGCCGCCCTGGCCCCTGACCCGCCTTCCCGTACGCCCAGATCCCCGGACCCCTGACGCCCCCCGGCTGCATGGCCCTGGACTCGCGCGCAGACTGAGCCGCCCGGCTGCTGCTCGGACCCGCCCTGAGCCCCGACCAGGACGGGGTCCTGCGCCGCCTCCGGGCCGCACCAGGACTCCACGCCTGAACTGAACCCAGCGTCCAACACGTCGGTGTTTGCATGGATTCCGTGCCGCGACATCGCCGGCCCAGACGCGGGCGGGACTGCATGGCCGCCACAGCCCACCCTGGGTAGGACCAAAGCAAGGGGAAGCCGCCCCGAGCACCCCAAGCTCTGGACAGGCAGGGCAGCCTCCGGCCTCGCGCCGCTGCAGACTGTGGGACAGCCATTAAATGCTCGGATTCCGAATCCTGTGTGGGCAGAGCCGTGGGGGCGGGGCCGCCGCGGGGGCGGGACCTCTGGAGTGGCAGCAGGCGGAGCCACTCGGTGGAGTGGCCAGGGGGTGGGGCCAAGCCCCATGGAGCGGCAGTGGGCGGAGCCGCTGCAGTGTGGCCATTGGCCAGCCTGGCTGCTCGTGGGGGCGTGGCCCCGCCGGTGGGTGTGGCTGCCAGAGGGGGCGGTGCCGAGCACGCACCAGAGCGCCGCGTGGTCCATTCGCTTTATTGGGGTTTCTGTAGTGTCATGACATCTTTAGGGGAGCAGGGGCGCACGTTGGACACTCGTGACACCAGAACGGGTTCGGGGAACGGGACAAAGTGGTGGACAGACCCCCCCCCCAGCACCCCACCCACCCCAAAAAGGAACTGGGAGAAGCGCGGCAGGTGGCCTCGCCTGAAGGAGCCCGGAGGCCGCGGCCCGGCCACACGCCTGTCGCCCTCAGCCGGCTCTGGGGTGTCATCCGGCCCCTTCTTCACAACCGACGACTGTGCTGGGGTTAGTAGGAGGGTGAGCGGTGACCACGACACGCCACGGCAGCGGGGTCTTATGTACAAGGGGCGGGGCGGGAGCCGGACCCTGGGGACACCGTCAATAAATAAATAAATAGCTACAATAATAAATAAGGGGGGGCCGGCGGGGGGGGGGGTCCAGCCCGAGGGGCCGGGCCTCAGCAGGCGCAGTCCTGGTGCGGGGGTGCCTGCTGGTCAGTGAGCTGCGGGCCCTGCTTGGCCCCGGTGACCGCGGGGTCTGCGGTGTCCAGGGACTCCGACATCTTCTCGCAGATGACGTCCACCAGGCGCTCGAAGGTCTGTTTCACGTTGATGTTGTCTTTTGCACTTGCCTCAAAGAACTCGAACCCTGTCGTCCAGGGAGGGAGGGGTGACACCACCGCCCCTCAGCAGGAGCCACCCCAGCCAACCTGCCCGGGTCAAGGCTCTGACAAGTCCTGCAGAAAAGCTACATCTGGCGGGGTCAGCAGTTCTCATCCTCACCCGTCCAGCCACACCCCTCTGTACCCAGGAGCCTCAGCACCTGGCTGAGACCTCACTTCAGACCTCTGCACAAAAGCTCCCAAAGTGAGGTGGCTGGTGTTCTGCATGGTGAACTCCTACACATCCATTAAAACCCACCTCAGCTGTGTGGCGGCTGGTTCGCCAGTCTGAATTGGTGCCATGCGTGGGGCCTCGGAGTGAGTGCTCTGGGTCCCCAGTTTCCCCCTTTCCTCCCCCTAGGGGTCCTGGCTGCCCGGGCACTCACCCAGGTGGTCGGCCAGCTGGCGGCCGCGCTCTGAGGACACCACCCGCTCCTCCTCCATGTCGCACTTGTTCCCCACCAGCAGCACCTGGGCGTTGTCCCAGGAGTAAGTCTTGATCTGAGTGGACCTGGGGGGCCGGGAATGGGGGGTGAGGGCCTGGACCCAGCCTCGGGGTCCCAAATTGACGCTGGTGTTGAATGTGAGCCCCCCCCCCCCCCGTGCGCACGTCAGCGCTGCTGGACGTGGCTGGACGGCGCTGGGGCCCGCAGGGCACGGCCCACCGGCCGGCAGGCTCACCAGTCCTGCACGGCGTTGAAGGACTCCTCGTTGGTGATGTCATACATGAGGATGAAGCCCATGGCACCGCGGTAGTAGGCGGTAGTGATGGTGCGGTACCTCTCCTGCCCAGCCGTGTCCTGCGGGGGGGGGGGGGTGGAGGGGAGCAGCCAGGGGGTCACCTTCATTCCAAGAACCTGGGCCCTAAGAAGCAGGGAGCCTGTCCCATGCGAGCCGCGCTGGTGGAGTCACCGCAGAGGAGCCTCGGGACCAGGCCCGAGGGAGCAGCGGAGAGCAAGGGAAACCAGGGCTTAAAGCCCTAAATCGGGAGAAGCTGGGCGTGGAGAGGTGCCCCGGCGATCCTAGCACTCAGGGAGCTGTGGCTGGAAGGCCACGAGTTCAAGACCAGCCTGGGCAACAAAAGCCAACACTTGTTAAAATAATGCCGGGTGCCAGTGGCTCCCGCCTGTCATCCTAGCAGCTCAGGAGGCTGAGATCTGAGGACCACAGTTCAAAGCCGGCCCGGGCAGGAAAGTCCGTGAGACTCTGATCTCCAATAAACCACCCGAAAGCCGGAAGCGGCGCTGTGGCTCAGGTGGCAGAGCGCCCGCCGTGAAGCGCTGAGGACAGCGCCCAGGCCCGGGGTCAAGACCCACGATCCTCAGCAAACAAACCGACCTCAAAACCACCTAAGCACGCAGCCGAATCCCCGTCCTCTCGGGAAAGACAGAGGACGCTAAGAGGAGGGGAGGAAGGGGGCGGCGGGGAGGCCAGGCCAAGCCCGCGGTGCCCGCAGGCCCCAGCACGCGCCCGGGCACGCACCCAGATCTGCAGCTTGATCCTCTTGTCGTTGCGGTAGATGGTCTTCACCTTGAAGTCGATGCCCACGGTGCTCACGAAGGCGGGCGTGAAGGAGTCGTCCGCGTAGCGGAACAGGAAGGACGTCTTGCCCACGCTGCTGTTCCCGATGATGAGGATCTTGAACATGTAGTCGAAGTTCTGGTCCGCAGACTCCTTCTGGCCATAGCGCGCGTCGGTGGCCGAGGCCATCTGGGGGGCGGGGCGGGCGCGCGTGAGGGCGGGGCGCCCCGCCCTCCCCTCCGTAGCTGCGTCACGTGACCCCGGCTGGGCAAGCCCCCAGCCCACGTGCCCGGAGAGCACACTCGCGTGCATGGGCCCACACGCGTGGGTGCACACCGGCGCCTTCACGCAATTCCTAAGTGAGGGGCAGGGGCCCCGCGCGTGGGCTACTGTTGCCCCGCGGAGATGAGGACTCGCTGGGGCTTCCGTGCGCACGCACTACGCGTGCATTCGACCCGCAGCCCGTTACATGCATATGGGCAACATACACACACGCGCGCGCGCGCACACGCCAGCGCGCGTCCCCGCGCCGGGCCCCGCGCGCACGGCGTCTGCGCACGTCTGCACGCCGCAGGGCCCGCGCGCCCCCGGGTCTAGACCCCCGGCGCCCCCGCAGTGTCCGCGCGGCCCCGCGGATGGCGGGGCGGGCAAGCGCGCACACGCGTGTGCACAGCGCACGCGCACGCAGGAGCCCCGCGCGCGCCGCTTCCCCGCAAGGCACGGGCTCCCCTCCCCCTCCGCCGCAGAGCGGAGCCCGCGGGGTGCGGGGGGCCGCGGATCAGCGCGCGAGCGGGCGGGGGGCGCCCCGGGCGCGGCCCTTCGCACCCCGCGGCCTCCGCGCCCTTCGCCCCCGCGGCCCGCGGCCCCCGCGCCCCGGCCCGCCGGCCCCCGCCCCCTCCAGCCTATCAGTCAAATGAAGGTTATGCAGGTGCCCGCAGCCTGCGCCCCCCGCGTCGCCCGGCGCTCACCTTGCCCTGCTCGGATGCGGCGGTAGCGCGGGGCGGCGGCGGTGCGAGGACCCCGGTGAGCGGACGCGGGGCTGCGCGGCGGCGGCGGCGGCGGCGGCGGCGGCTCGGGCCCCTGCAGTCCGCGGTGACGTCCTGCAATGAGCGGGGCGGGGCCTCACATGCAAATACAGATGTGACGCAAGCGGGGGCGGGCCCGCTCCGGAAGATGGGCCTCAGACGCGCTCCCAGGCCTAGGGGCGAGGCTTCAGAGCAGATTGACGCGCTGGGGAGGCGGGGCCATATGGGCGCATCCAATTGTGTCGGGGAGGCTTCCGCTCCCGCTCCGCGTCTCGTCCGCTCCGGGAGGCGGGGCCGCCCATCGCCGGTTCACTGGCCTCAACGCTCGAGCGGCGGGCCACTCAGCCAATCAGCGCCATCATCCTGGCCAATCAGGGCTTTCAGGAGTGTGGGAGGCGGGGAGCCTGAGCCCAAGGCTAAGCCGGGCTTTGCGGGGTCCAGGCCGGTCCCAGCCAGCCCTGGCCCCGGCCTGTACGCCGCTCGCTCGCTCCACTACCGCCGGTACGGCCTGAATCCCCCGAATACGGGAGCTTTCCGAGACGAGGAGCTGTGGTCCGAGAGATGCTTTATGCTCCCCCCGCCCCCACGTTATAGTGTTAAAATGTTTAATTGAGGGACAAAAAGGAGGGGTCGGGGACCCCCGACCAATTAGCGAGGAGTCACGCCCCGGGGCGTGGCTTGAAGAGCCCCTCCCTTCCCCCCCTTTGCGAGGATACTGCCGGGGCGCCCCCTCCCCGCCCTCCCTGCTTCCGGCGGCCTCCCTCCCCTGCGCCCCTGGCCGGGAAGGGCGAAGTGGGGGTGCAGAAGAACCGGGGAGACGGGAGAGGCCGCCGAGCCCCACAGGGTGGGGGACTCACACCGGCGACCGCCACGCAGGACAGGCCTGGGGATTCCCTCCAGACCGCGGGGAGAGGTCCGAGCTGGGGGCGGAGAGCGGGACGGCCGCCCGGCCCTCCTCCCGGAGGCGCGGAGCCGCTTCGACAATGCCAAGGCCTCTCCTCGGCCCGGCTAGCAAAGGCCCCGAGCCCCTGCCGAGGGTCGGAAATTCAGAGAGAAGAAGAAACCCGACGCGAGCCTCTGCCCGCGGCCCCCGAGATCCTCGGACCGCGGTTCAAAGCCAGCCCGGGCAGGAACGTCCGAGACGCTGACAGCTCTTTAGCCAGGGAAAAGCCCCCCTGGAGCTGTGGCAAAAGTGGTGGAGCACCGGCCCGGGCCTGGCACACGCACATGCACGCGCGCGCCCGCCTGCGGCCTCTCCAGTCGGGAAGGGAACCGTGCAAGCTCAAGACCTGCCTGGGCGCCCCGAACGGCCGGTGTGACACGTATCGAGGCCCCGTGTGGACGCACACAGCCGCTGCTGGGCGCGGTGCCCGCGGCAGGGGGGCACCGAGGGTCCCAGGCTGGCGTCGGGGCGCCCCAGAGCCCCACATTTAACTGCCACTGCCCCCCCCCAGCCAGCGGGGCCGCCAGCGCTTCCCCCTTCGGACACCAGGGGGCGCTGCTGCGGCAGATGTTCCTTGCGCGGGAACCAGCGCTCCGTGCCTCAGTTTCCCTTCCGTGAACAGGGCTGGAACTGCTTTTCTCCACCGGTGGGGTTGCATCGCGCGGCTCTGCGAGTCCCGGCAGGAGTCGCAGCCGGCTCTTTCTCACGCCCATTGGCTATGACGAGGCTGACCCGGCCTGGCTCGTCCGGTTCCCACCAGGCTCCTGCCTCCATCTCCCGGGCGGCGCGGGCCGGCGCCCGCCCCCGCCCGGCTCGCTGCTTTGGATTCAGCCCCAGAGCACGGCTCACGGCGCCCACGTGGCCCACCCGTCTCACTGTGGGGGACCACAGTGGGGAAACTGAGTCCCGGACAGCAGTGGGAGGCGCCACGTGCGTGGTTTCACACGTGGGGGTTTGCTAGGGCGGAAGGGCAGCGTGGGGGTGACCTGGGCAGGTCACAGGGGGCCCCAGAACCAGCCCCACCCCGTTCCATGGCCTGAAATGTCGTTCCCAGCTTACAGTCATCCTGCAGAGCCCTCTCCAAATGACCCCGCCTCGACGCCGGTGCCCACACGGCTGTGGGTCGCGCAGTGGCCGCCCAGCTGAAGGCCAGGGTCAAGCCAGGGCTTGTGCTGCTGGCTTGGCTTCTCCCCTCCCTGCCTGACCCTGCTGGCTAGGCCTCGTCACCCGGGGACCTGGGACTCCACAGAGGCCCGCGCTTGTCACGCACAGGGCCGAAGCCCAGGTCCGCCGCCGTCCCACGGGGAGAACCCGGCCGACACACGGTCACCCTGCGGTCAGTCCACCGGCCGGGTGCCGGCCAGGCCCAACTCCCCTAACAGGTGGGGAAACTGAGGTCCAGAGCCCTTTGTCCAGTCTTCAAGCTCCGTGGACAGCAGTTGCATCGTAAGGGCTGTGACAGAGCCGCAGCCGGAGGACACTGGCCAGGCCGCGCACCCCAACGCAGAGGACCGGTTCGGAGGAGCGCAGGCCTGGCCGCAGGGCCTGGAGCGGAGGGGACCGGATGGTGGGCCCCGCCCAGCGCGCTAAGCCCCGCCCAGGCTGTTGGCTCCGCCCTTGCCCGGATCCCGGCCCCGCCTGTGCTCTAGACCCCGCCCACAGTGTCAGTTCCGCCCAGCTCAGGGCCCGCCCATCTATTTTGGCCATAGTACTAAGCACCTCCTCTCCGCCCGCGACACAGGCCACGCCCCCGCACAGGCCACTCCCACTCGACATCACCCCGTCTAGACCACGCCCTCTCGATAGGCCACGCCCTGGCCTCGCGGCAGGGCGGATACATGGGCGTGACATCATGCAGGGGCGGGCCGGGGAACCCTTGGCTGCGCAGCGCACGCGTGCGCAGGTGGAGGGGAGCTACACTATCCCGGTGCCGTCGCCCTCCCAGCGGGGTACAGCCCTGCCCGGCTCCTGCCTCTCAGTGCGCCTAGGGTCGAACAGAGAAACTGAGGCCTGCGGCGCTGGGCTCCGCCTGGGCTGTTTGCCCTCCAGCCCAAGCTTAGCCGGAGCGGCGGGGTGGGCGCTGCTGTGTCCTGACGGTAAACTGAGGCACGGACACAGCGACCCGCCCGGACGCAGCCATCCCTCCCCAGTCCCCGCACCTGGGGGGCCTGGGGCCCCGGATTGGGGGGCGCTGGGCTGGGAAGGGCCTGGGGACGTGTCCCAAGCCGCCAGCCATGCGGGAGGGGCGCGCGGCCCCTGGGGAAACTGAGGCCTGGCGACCTCGTGGGCGTCCCGTGTCCCTCGCCCCGGAGAGAGCGCCGCACCATTGCTTTCCAGGCAGACGCCTGACCCGGCCCTGACCCCGGCCCTGGGTCACGGGGCTGCTCCTGCGGGGTGTCTGCTCCAGTCAGGGAGGGGCCGGGTTAGGGGTGAGGATGGGAAACGGGGTCATTCCACGGTGTCCAGATTGAGCCTCGGCCCTCGAGGGTAGGGACGACGGGGAGGACTTGCCTCCCTGTCCCCGCCCGTGGCCTATCCATCCCCGGCGCTGAGCTCCATGCTGCTCCCGGAGCTCACTCTGCGTCCAGCACCACAGACTAATGACCACAGCGGCCACACCAGGCCCTACGGCCCCCGCCCGGCCGGGCACCCCACGGCCTGGTGCCGGCCCCCCCTCATGCCAGCCTCTGTCCGCCCTGCTGGCCAAGCCCCAAACTGCAGCCACGAGCCAGGGACCCCAGGGCCCCAAGCCTCAGTACTCACACCTCAGTACTCCCTAATCCGAATCGAGATCATGGGGGTGGGGGGCTGGGATGAAGATTGCTCACACGTGCATGCACGTGTGCGTGTGCTGATCCTGGGGCTTGAATGCTGGGCCTGGGCGCTGTCCCTCAGCTCTTCAGCTCAAGGCGAGCGCTCTATCACTTGATCCACAGTGCCACTTCCAGTTTTCTGGTGGTTTATTGGAGATGAGAGTCTCACGGCCTTTCCTGCCCTGGCTGGCTTTGAACCGCCATCCTCAGATCTCAGCCTCCTGAGCTCGGCTTCAGACGTGGGCTTCAGGTGCTCTGGGATGGTGGTTATTCATCCTGGCTGCCCCTACTTGGTCCTGGCAAGGCTGCCATGTGGCTTCTGACCTCTGGAGACTAGGGGTGTCTGTGGTGCCACAGGCCCTGGGGTCCTGGGCTGGAAGCTGGGGGGTGTCTGGCAGGGGGGGGGAGGTGTCTAGGGCCCCACGGCCCAGCACGGCCCCCGCACAACCTCGTCGTGGTCACAGAGGCACGGATGGGACTCAGGCTGAGGATGTTTTTATTCATCCGATGCGGGGAGCCAGGCTGGAGGCCTAGACCCCGGGCCAGCGTGGGGCGTGGGGCAGGGGGCGTCCGGGGGCCTCCCACGGGCCGGGAGGGCCCAGCAGCGCGTCGGTGGTGAGGCAGGAGCGCGTGTAGTGGCCGCGCCACGTGGACTGCAGCACCTTGGCGGCCAGCTGCTGCCGCCGGAGCAGGCAGCGCGTGCGGAAGCCGCGCCAGGCCGACTGGATGGCGGTGGCGGCCCGGTCCTGGCTGCGCAGCCGCAGGCCGGCGGGCGCGGCCCAGGCCCAGGGCTCGGCCTCCGGGCCCGGCACGCCGCGGCCCACGCCCTGCACCACGCGCGTGGCCAGCGTGTGGCCGCACATGTGGCAGGTGCGCGGACTGGAGCCCACGAGCATCACCACGCTGGGGGTGGCGGGCAGCCCGGGACTCAGCGCCCGGCACAGGCCGCACACGTCCGGCTGGCAGGACAGGAAGCAGCGGTGTTCGGAGGGCGGCCGGCAGGCGCCCAGGCGGCCGCGGGGCCGGAGCAGGCGCACGGGGCCCGGCTCCGCCCACAGCACGGGGAGCGGCCGGGGCCGCGCGAGCTCCCTGCGGCTGCGGTAGCCCCGCCACGCGGCCTGGATGACGGTGGTGGCTTGGTAGAGCTGCGCCAGGTTCCTCCGCACGCGGTGGCCGCGCCACGCGGCCTGGATGACCGTGGCCCACTGGTGCCACACCTTGATGGCCCGCCGCACGAGGTAGCCGCGGGCGCACGCCTGGA